TTAGTTCCGTACGATCCAAACCAGATGCTTGACAAGCTGATTTATAAGAATTTTGATAGCCGGCCAAGCAGCCAAGACTCTCGGTCAACAATCTCAAAGACGCCTGTTAATACAAATCAGTTTAAGAAGCAAGAGGCAAGGCTTGAACAACTGCTTAGTAGTGTAGCTGATACACCAATGAAGTCAGCCTTGGACTACGTCTTCAAAGGCGCTGAGATGGCGTTAAACCGGGCGGTTTTGTTGGAACAGGAAGTTCGAGAACTCCGCTGGGCAAATGAGAGGTTAAACACCAAGAAACGACGAAGAAATAAGCAGCTTACAGGCCTTAACGGCTTCACTGTTAACGAAGCAAGGGAGGCATTCCAACGCGAGTATAAAAAAATAAAGCCCTTCAGATTAAGGATCAGAATCAGCCTCGCCGCCGGGCACCTCCCAGATGCAGCGAGTGCGGTGTTCAAGGACATATACGTACGAGGTGTCCAAATCGAAGAACTGTGTAAAAAGACATTCAAAATGGTGTAATTGAGGCTTCAAAACACCATATATTTATATACAAATCAAAAATCCATGTTGGTGCTGCATTTGGTGGATCTGCTGGCTCGCTCGCTTGCGTGGCTCGCTCGGTTGACGATTACGTTAACTTTGATAGCTTAGTCATCATAGTGTCATCGGGCATAAAATCACCCGTCCTATGAAGGCAGCAATAAGAGGAAGCGGTCACGGGACGGGACGCGTCTCTCCGCCCGCGCCTTCCGCCTTCGTCGTCCTCGTCATCGTCCCTGACCTCCTCTTCCCCGACCTCCTCCTCTTCTTCTTCTTCTTCAACATCATCTTCCATCCCCCCTCCCCCATCCCCTCTTTGTTCTCGAAGCCAGTCTTGCCTTTGGCATGTACTCGTGACCAGACCGCATCTTGCTTTCCCCTTGGTTTATCTTGCCGCTCTCGAAGCCAGTCCTGCCATTCCTGTGTTCTCATAGGACTCTCTGTTTTCTCTCGTGGATCTCAGATTGGGCATGTACTCGTGACCAGACCGCATCTCTACTTTCTCGTTTCTCCTTCCTGGGTACTTGCTCTCTGTCGTCCTCGAATCCAGTCCTGCCATTCCTGTGTTCTCATAGGACTCTCTGTTTTCTCTCGTGGATTTCAGATTGGGCATGTACTCGTGACCAGGCTCAGAAGCTCATACCTTCTCAATCTTCTCTCTCCCCCCCTCCTATTCATCCATTCCATTTCTTCCGCCCTTATATTGCGAGTCAGGGCTGCTCCACGTCGCTCAAAGCCTGGGTGGGTGGGCTACTCGATTCTTCGAGGGTTATCGTTTAATAATCCAGCGGATTTCGCAGCAACAGAATGACAACTAACACTTCGCGAAACCGACCATGGGTCTCGAAAGTCCTTGTTCACGCACCTGACCTTGATGTTTTCTGTGTTGCCCGCCTTCGTATCGTCCAAGGCCAAATTATCGCGCATGGAGATACTGCCAATCAAGCATCTATCTTGCTTTCGATCACGACAACTCTCGCTAACTCGGGCAGCGTCGCTAACTCGAGCAGCAGATCCCAGGTCCTGACTTTGAATATCCCTCCCGAACGAGTCGAAAAATGCGGTCTAGCTCGGAGAAGCAACAACACTCTCTGTCCAACACGCCTCCTTTCCTCGCTCCCGGCGCCTGTTACAAATGTTTCGGCCGTCTCAACACTAAGTCTTAGCCTCGACACGGTCGGCATCGTTCTTAGTCCATCCGGCATGGACTCTCTCATACCGGCCATACCTGGAGACTTGAAATTTTACTCGTTTGCCAGAATTTGTCAATCCAAAATTCTCCGTCTACACTTCTCCGGACGACAATTTGTCGATAACGAACTTGATAGGCTACAAGAGTTCGTGTATGCCCTGCGGCAAAGGAGTCTTCAGGCAGTGCCTTTAAACACCGCTCGCCATGGAGTATGCCAGAAAGATTGGCGTGTTTTTGCTCTGTCGCCCGATCCACCTCCATATTGCCGGGAGTCCGTGTCCGAGCAGGTGGATCCTCCCGTATATGAGGAGGGAGTGCTAGCAAAACGGCGCAGAGGTATCTTCTCACCTTGCCATAGCACCTTGTGTAATAGTTCAATAATAGTATTTAGACCCACAGTCAATATCACCCAACGCTGAACGACGAAAAAAGATGCACCTTCTATCCCCCCAACCGATAGGCTCTCCAACTGAAGTACCGACTGATATTGCGACTGAAGTCAACACGCCGAGCACTCGGGCTCCTTCCCGATCACCGTCCTCGATCCGCCTGACTCACTTTCGGCGCGCTTCCTCCCGCGGCCAGACAGAGTATCAGAGACTCGCGCATCTTGAACACGAGCTCCGTGGTGTTTCTGATGACCTGATCCGTAGACTGTTAGTTCGATCCGGACGCGAACATCTGCTAGCCATACCGAAAGACGTCGACCGCCGTCTGGCACGCGAGCTCGAGCCTGTAGACAGCTCTCCCGAGGCCGACATGGTGATGATCGGACGTCGGCTTGAACGATACATTGATAAGACAATTGATCGTCGGCTCGCACATTATGTCGACTGTGCCGTGGCCGAGTGTCGCGATCAGCTCTACGACGTATGCACCCAGAAGGAAGCCCAATTCGAAGAAGAGATCGACAATGGTAACATCGAGGTACGCAACACAGTCAATGACTGTATGAAAGAAATGGAGGAGCAGGTGCAAGGGCACATAGTTCAAATGGAAGAACAAGCGCAACGGTGCATTAAGGATATCGAGGACCGGGCAGCCGAGATTGAGGTCGAGTTCGAATCCGAGATATCTGCGAAGAGGAAAGTTTCACTTGATGGGAAGTCAAGCGCACGTCGTGGGCTGCGCGCCCGTATCACGCGCAATTCCGTTTAAACCAGTACTGGTGGCTTTGAGAGCTTGTACTTGTTTTCTTGAGGCACGTAAAGTGCTGAGCCCTACGAGGGACTGGCTAAAGGGTGACAAGTGATCGGCTGCGCTAATTAGTGGATTGTACAGGCTTCTAAGTAATCCGATTGGTCGCTCGGATTGCCCGCCGAAGACAGATTATAGTATTCCATACTGTATCGCAATCTGCCCATATCGTAATCGCCCCTCTGCGTTCCACCCCCCTTGAATGAACCCTCGATATGTAGCTCGGGTAGCTGCTGTGCAACTCATAAGTTGGCCTCTGTCTGCGGGATTGCATGCCTGCTTGCGAAAATGAGTACTCAGCTAGGGAAGAAGGAACTGCGGTCCCGCCGTCGACACGCGGTGGGAGTGTGCAATGCATGCCGCCGACGGCATATTAAATGCGGCTTGGCTCGGCCCACCTGCTCAGCGCGCAAGGCCATCGGGCGTTATGCGAGACCTCGAACGCTCAACTAACATGGACGTCGACCTTGGGACCCTGATAGGAGCCCGTACTCGTGCATGGAAGTTGAGTCACTCCACTTCACAAAGGATGGGTGAGATTCATGGGCGGTTGACTGCTATTATCACAGGAGCTGCACCTAGTGAATGACAAATTTGAATATGGCAGGGGTACGGAGTCGGATTCGGTAGGGGCTCCGTAGGGACTGCGTAGCCCTACCATATCCAATCGTTCAGAATTCGCCAAAGCTGGAGGACCATACCTGTAAAATGTCCATGGTTACTTGGTAGTATGAGCAAGCAGACAAGCACTAAATTATACTAGATGAGGGGGGCGGGACCATAAAGTCTAGCGGTTGATTATTACTTCATAGAACCACGCTAGGTAACACTTGAAGGCTACACGCAAGATGTGATACACTCATAGTATACGCATCAGCCTTGCGCCCGACCTTCACCGCATGTCAATGCAGTCAGTTATACTTATGCCAAACCATAGCAAGCAAAGCTGAAGCCACGATCTCACAGCGACGGTGGTGGGTGACCTCCAAAAAAAAACACCTCGCTTGTGATTCCCCTCTCCAGGAGTACACCCAAAATGCCGCTGAAGTCCACCCTCCGGGCATCTCGCCCGCACATCGGCTGGGCCTGACGAACTATTGGCTCATATCGGGGATGAAATTGGGCCAAGCTGCGACTAGTCTCCATGTAGATTGACCACGACTCGATTAGATCTAGTGACCCAAGATCTAAACCCCAAGGGAAATTTGCCAAGCAGGGGTTCGACCAGACTAGCCTCTCTTGGCAAGGCTTCAGCTTCCGGTCCCTGATAGTTTGTTCGAGGCTGATACCTCCCCCCTTCTTTATTTCTGTTGCAAAGCTTTTGTTGCTTCGTCCACATCATTCTCATTCATCGCTACACCAAATAGTTCTTTTGTTCTGCCGTTATGATGCACCTGAAATTGGTTCTGGGCCTGGCTGCCGCTACACTTGTCTCGGCTGAGAACATTGTCACTACCCTTTTCATCCCGGATACCGACGCCGAGTCATTGGTGGGCTCAGTCATGGGCGTGGTAAGTGCTGACCACCCGTCACGGGGCACTGATTTCATGCATCACAGACTGACGGACAGAGTAGGCTGCAACTGCTACTACCTACCTTGTCAACTGTCCGACCGCAACTGGTATTGATGATGACGATGACGGCGATGACTGCGGCATGGGACCCGGTATGACAATTGTTGCCGGCCCTCAAACCACCAGCTATTTCCTCGGGGAGCCAGAAGATGATCTGTACGTGGCCTTCGTCCTCCCTGTCAGACTTGCGAGAGATCATTTGCTAACCCACCCCGTTCAGCTATATGTCCATGGCTTGTTCGGTGCAAGGGATTACTTACGGGGTCTGCACCGAAATGATTTCGGGCACGGGGGCGGACTTCCCTGGGACCTATACCACGACCATGGGTACTGATGACCTCTGCTGCTTTGTGCCCGTTACCATCACTGCGGGCACGCTTACCGGTGCTGGAGATGCCACCTCCCCTGCGACTGTACTAGCCACCGGAACGGCTGCCTCTACCGCCCCCGATGCTTCCGCTACCGGCACGGACCCCGCAGTCAGCGGCAAACCGGCTGCTGCTACTGTTGGCGCCTCCACAACTACCAACAATAGCACGACCCAGAGCAGCACCGGAGCTGCGGCACTCATTACCCATGATTCGACTCTGTTCTTTGGAGGTGCTGCGGCGGCTGCACTTGTGGCCGCAGCCTTTTGAAATATGATACCTTACCTAAAATGCTTTCCGTTCTTTGGTAAACCATTTGAAGATATCTATTTAACTCTGTGGATGAATCAAATTCCAAACTACACCTGGACGTTTGAGTCTTGTATGGTGTTAATATTCTGCTGGTGCGGAACGAGGCTGGCTCTCCCGTTTATCTGATCTGTATGAAGGATATCTATCTACCTTCATGAGCTTGCTTTACACAAACGTCAATTAACAGGTGGGCTGCGATAGGGGCACCTAGAGCTTGAATGGGGCAAGAACTGATTCTCCCCAGAGCCATTGGCCGATATGGACAGGCCCTGGGATATGGACCCACGAGACTAAGCTCCAAGACCTAGGAAAGTTAGTCCAGTAAATGGTATATTTTTTGCAGATGACAGGGCCTCATTGACATTATTCCCCGGCCAATGCATAAGTGCTTCCTTTAAGGAGTTAGATCAAGGGACGCTGCTGCAACATGAATACCTCTGTGCTTCATGTTACTTGCTACTTCACGCATTTAACACTTACTTCCACATGAAGCAGTATGCGCCTACTTTACCATTACCTAGAATCAGGATTAAACTGAGCTTGGACTTCACAGTCCCTTTAGCGGCAGTCGTCTATCTATCTCTTAGACGTCAGATAGCCAGCTAACTGCCTTAAAGTCTTTCCTGGGGTCTCAGGTACTATGATATAGCATAGGAAACTTTTATTCAATGCAAATAGAAACGAAGAAGCAGTTATATACTCGTTAATAATAATGTCTATTATAGAGCAGCTACGGTTTCAATAAATGCTGTAAACAATCCCATCTTTATAGATAAAGGGCGGGTCTTGGCGCTAGAGGAGATACTAAGATAACCATGCACGGATATGCATGCTCTTCCTGATGTTGCAGATTCTAATCTGCGTGGCGTTGCTCCCTTTCTTCCCCCGGAGTATTCAAGATTGTATACCCAAGTTGGAAAAAACCCTACTCGGGCCCGATGTGAGCAACTTATCGAGACACCTGTCTTGTGTGAAGATGAGAAGATAATAGTAGAATCGTTCTGAGAAATGTCTGAGACTTTAGTGTAACATAAATAACATAAGACACTTTGCGCCCTCTAATTGACCAATCCGCCGATTCCAACTCTTTACACCAACCAATTAATCCAGTCCACCCACCTCCATATCCACCCGACACCATTGGCCATTATGGTGTTTTCCAACCGTGCTGTTCACATCGTGAGTGTCCACTCCGCGGGTGAAATTGACGATGTGATTATTGCTGGGGGTGTTCTTGACGTGCCCGTTAAACCCATATTCAACAAGATGACCGATTTGTGGACCCAAGCTGAGAGGCTGCGCCCGCTGCTGCTCAACTAGCCCCATGGGTTAACTGTAATGGAACAGGCGTGGTGGATGCGTTCCTCCCGCCGGTGTTCCTCCCGCTAGGCCAAAACAGGAAATCCAGATGTTCGACCAATTAGGCTGTGTTGATCGACACAGGCTTGTTAACTTATAACCTACAGCCAGCACAGCACTGGAGTGCATACTGCGATCTCCACAATAGACGAGGCTGAGCTGAGGGCTTTTGTCGATCTCAGCTCGGCTACTGACTGACATGCATCCTTCCATCATGTCGTGTCTGGCCAAACCGACCAGCCTACCGGGGTATAAATATTCCCCTAAAGTAAGCACCCAACACTCCGAGATGATAACAATCCTCTTTCTGAGACCCTGGGGCCCTGCACACAACCTGGCCATCCTCTCTACACAGCATGGTTCGAGTACCATTTCTTTCAGTAGTCCAGGCCGCGTCCGCCCTCTGGGCGCTGGACCTTCTTCCCAGCATAGCTGCCGCGACAACCACCTTCCAAAACACCAGCTCCTCCGTGGAGTACAACTGTCACGCGGGACAATCCTGCTGGCCATCCAACGAGGAATGGACGCAGTTCAACAAAAGCCTGTCGGGGAACCTCCACCGCACCGTCCCCTTCGCCGCCAGCTGCTACTACAGTTCGCTCGCCTACGACCCGGCCTCCTGTGCCCTCGCCCAGAAGAATTACCTCCTCAACCAGCCCCGCACCGAGGTCTACGGGGCGGCGACGGGCCTCAACTGGGAGACGTGCGGGCTCCAAAGCTGCGCGCTGAACCCGCTCGACGGGGAGAGCGTGCAGTCGGACGAGTGCCAGCTCGGCCGCCTGTCGGCGCTGTACGTCGACGCCCACTCGGCGCAGCAAGTAGCCACAGCGGTGCGATTCGCACGCCAGCATCGCCTCCGGATCAGCATCAAGAACACCGGCCACGACTACTTCGGACGGTCGACGCGCCCGGACACCCTGGCCATCTGGACGCACCACCTGAAGAACATGACCTACCACGCCAACTTCACCGCCGCGAACTGTCCCGCGACCGATTCGCACGAGCACATCGGGGAGATCGGGGCGGGCGCGCAGGCGTCCGACGTGTACGCGTACTTCCAGGGGTTCGGGATGGACGTGACGGGCGGGAATGAGGGCTCGGTGGGGTTGGCGGGCGGGTTCGGGCAAGGCGGCGGCCACGGGGTGTTTGGGCCCTCGCGCGGGCTGCTGGTCGACAACGCGGTCGAGTTCGAGGTCGTCACGGCCGACGGCCAGCTCCGTACGATCAACGCCTGCTCCGACCCGGATCTCTTCTGGGCGATGCGCGGCGGCGGCGGCGGCACGTTCGCCGTTCTGACGAGCTACAAATTCCAGCTCTACCCCGCCGTCAAGATCAACGTCTACTCCTTGAAGGCCAGCTTCATCACGAACACGACGACGGCGGGGGATGACCCGAAGTACCGCGCGCTGGAGTGGCTGCTCACGCAGCACGCCACCGCGCAGCCCCTGTGGTCCGCCCAGAACGTCTCGGGCCATGCCTACTACTGGCCCAGCCAGGTCGAGCTCTACCTGGTGTTGCCGTCAAACAATCAAACGGCGCTGCCGGCGCTGACGCGGGATTTCGTGGCCGCCGTGCGGGCCCATCCCGAGCTGATCCAGGTCTCCGAGAGTAACTACACGACGTACGCGAAGTACACCGATTTCCTGACGCTGACCGAGGCGATCGCGACGGAGCTCACGCCGGGCGGGATCTACGAAGCCGTCGCCAGCCGGCTGGTTCCGCGCGATCTCTTTGCGTCGCCGGGAAGTGTCACGGACCTGGTGACGGCGGTGCTGGACGGGGTCCGTCGGAGTAATACCCTAATCTCCGAGGAGTACGCCCTGACGCAGGTCATCATGACCACGCCCGTCAACGTGCAGAACGGGAATACGACCAGCGTGCACCCCGCGTGGCGCTCGGCGCTGTGGCATGTGCTGATGACCGGGGGGTGGTTTGACGTGCGCTCCACAGCGAACCAGACCGCGCTACAGGAACGGTGGTTGGAGACCGTGCAGCCGCTGAAGGAGCTAACGCCGCGGGGCGGGTGCTACGTGAACGAGGGGTCGTACCTGGAACCGGAGTGGGAGGAGACGTTCTTCGGCGAGAACTATCCGGCTCTGCTTGGGGTGAAAGAGCGGTATGATCCGACGCACTTCTTTGATTGTTGGAAGTGTGTGGGCTGGAAGGGGTCCAAGTAAGTTTTCCCTCTGATTGTGCTTCTGCGGGATAAAGGCTGACGTTGGCGGCTCTAGGGGGTACCAGTGTTACGATTAATTATTTTCCTGTGTGGGGCAGTCGCGGCCAGGCTACACTGGACAGGGAGGAGGGGGCTGTCTCTTTACTCCAGGTCCAGCTTGACTGACTCTACTGCCTGCCTGCTGTCAGCGTCATGTACATGATATATAATCTGCCTAAGTCACGTTCTTTCTAGTTCTAAACCTGCTGGAGTTTTTCGAGTTACGTCTTGTCTATAGACCCGAGGGTAGTCTAATCTCAGTAGCCAGTGAAGAAAAAATTGAACTATTTGGGTTTATTGCCTTCCAGGCTAAAGGTGTAATTGCAGATGATCCGGCACAGCCGCGGATGGGAAACCGCGTTTAAAGTCTAGTAGTTTGAATCAAACCAGCCCAGCGACAACTGGATTTCGGTAAGTCCGAGGCTGAATATACCGTGAAGAAAAGGATTATCAATAAACCAATGGCACTCTCATCGTAAGCGCCAGCCATGCCGAGCTGAATGATCAGCTGGGGTGACAGAGCCCTGAAGGCGCAAAGAAGGCGGCAATTCGAGCCGAGAGGATTTCCTTCCACTCACAAAAGAGCAAGACTTGTTCACCTGATGAACATCGCATAACATAGCCTGTATGAGTTGAAAGGAGTTATAAAGTAGGCAGTTCCAGACAAGTGCCACCCAACGTCTCCAAAGCATCCTGCGATACATGCTCAGCAAACATAGCTACCTCTTACCGATATAGTACGGCAGTATGGGTATCAATCATAACTTCTTCAAGAACTTGGCTGTCATGTCGAGGATGATGCTTCTTTTACCTCTTTTACTCATTACTGTGACTGGTATGTCCAATCCCACCATTTTGCGACTGCAAGTCCCTGCTAACTACGGCAAATCGTCTCCATCAGCAACCTCTCCCTCCACCGCACACTCCCAACCAACCGACAACGTCAACGTCACGAGCACAACCTACTACACCCAAATCGCGATCAAAAACTCGCTCCCAGTGCACCTAAAGCACATCCGATTTGCGCACATCAGCAAGCAGGAGCTGAACGTCCAAGCCTGGGATAACATACAGAGCGGTCAGACCCTCCCTGCAGTCTGGATCAAATATGCAACGGGTATGTTCAAGTGGCAGAGAGCCACGATTATTCTCGGACTCGAACCCAGGTGCTGACCGTGTCAGGGATCTTCACCGGTAGCGACACGTGGAACCTGGACATCACCTTCGAAGACGGCGAGACCTTCTACATCGACCGGGACAGCACCTGCAACTTGCAGGAATCCGACAGTGGGCAAGTGTACACGTGGACCATCGAGGGGTCAACCTTCCATATGCCGATGAATAGTGTATGTTTTCTTTGGAAATGTGTTACCCCAGCACCATGTTTGACGGAAGATGAACAGGACGGCATGAACACGCAGATTAACAACGACGACGACGAGGACGAGTTCAATACCTACGCATTCGCACGGGTAGGAATGTCCCTGCTCTGCTCGACTCTCCTTTCCGTGTGCGTGGTGTGGTAGATTCCACTGACTAAGGATGTTAAAGATCAAAAACGAATTCGACCAGACGTTTGAATGGTCGCAACTAGCGCATACGCACGAAGGGACGGGCGAGAGGCGGAGCGCGTGGACGACGTCGATCCCTCCGCAGGGTTTCTCGCCGGTGGTGCCGGTGTACTTCACTACGGGGTTCGGAAACACGGATACGGATTTCTGGGCAGTGCGGGCGAAGTACAGTGCGGATGGCGGGGCGCACTACCTCCTGCGGCAGGCGGATGAGAATTACAAGTGCATGCTGAAGTCCGGGGATGCGGGGCAGTTGTTCCACGTGGGCATTCGGGGCCAGCATGGGAGGAGTGGGGACTTCATTCTGGATATTCCGAGTGGGTCGTGTACGGTTGGATTGGTGCAGTCGAAGGAGGGGACTGCTGCGCCTGTGAATGTGGAGCTGTAAGGGTGCTCGGAATAGCTTCAGCTTACTGCCTCGGCTGCTGTGTAGATAGTCGGAGTCTTAGATTGCCGAATGCGGTTTGGCGCCATCTTTGCAAAGCCGAGAATTCTGACGTCTTATTTTTTTTCGCGCCCACCGCGTATCTCAATCCGGCATTCGAGTGGACCAAGACTCTAGGGGAGAATGAGGTGAAGATAGCTGCCTCGTATCTCTGTAGTCCCACCGAGTCTCATTTATTTGCATCCAGAACTTCATCACACTATCGATTATGTAACAGTTTTCCCCATACCTGGCCATGTTTATCCCTTACAACCCGCCCTCCTCGACCCAAGGCAAGCACAACCGCCGGAAGATAAACACATACGTGGCCGCAGTAGCGGCTGCAAAGACCAGCGACAAGCGATGCTCACGGCCCCACAAGACAACTACGACGGGTCGTGCAAACGGAAAGGCAGACAACTTCACTCAAGCTCTCCATTGGTTCCCTACTTTCAATTTTAGTGATCCCACGGGCGAACCCCCTGCTCGTCAGGCAGACGAACAGGGATCGGCATGCGGGGGGCCCGAGGCCGAGGACCCTGGCGCTGGCCAGCTTCCGGCGCGTGCGTTTGCTGCAGGGAGGTTCTACCCCATCGAGGGTTCAGGCCCCAACTCTCGCGGACCGCTTGCGCTGCAGGCTCTCGCCCACTGTGAGTAAGGCTTATGCGACCCAATCTGTGCTCATCGTTGATTGCAAATCTTGCTTTGAGCCCGAACTGACATAGCCGCGTCCGGAAAACCCGGCTGCAGTGTACGATGTCCTTCTCCCGTACGATGCGAAAGTTGTGGGCCTGGGGAGGGTAGAAACAGACAGCTACGCGAGGCATCTCCTCGCCTGGACCTTCGAACACCAGGAGGTTTTTCATAGCCAGGCAGCCTTCAGCCTGTGTATCTTGTACCAAATGGATGGCAGTAGGGGAGCTCATCAGGCAATCCTGTGGCATCGGCAGCATCTGCTAAGGGCCGTGCGCCAAAGACTGTCCGCCCAGCGAGTGGACGACGTGCTGCTGCACAGTCTCTGCACGATGATCTCCGTCGACGAGTGTCTGGGCTTCCACGAGTCTCGCGCTGTGCACCTGAAAGGACTGCAGAATATCATGCGCGTTCGTGAATCTCCCACCAGGGCGTCGCAGCTCACACTCTCAGGGTCCAGCACCGCCCCAGGTATGCTGCCAAAGCATTCCCCCCTGGGCAAGGTGGTGCTCGTCAACAGGATCATGGTAGAGTTTCATCTGAAGATGAACCTCGGCTTTCAGCAGGAAGTGGATCTGCCGCCAACATCGTCCGATGAACCCCCTCTCCTGCTTCTAAGCCCAGGCCCAGCCACAGATACCACCAGCGTGGAGGACCTCCTACCGCCCGGCTTCCAAGATCTCGCTCGATCGGGCAGGTTGACTCCGACAGTGATCAACCTTCTTTCGGACTTTTCTTTCTGGTTCTATAGCGGGATGGGCACAGACGTCACCACCCGCGAGACCTGGCGCTGTTTGACCTTCACCCCCAGTAACAGCCTTGAACAGTGCATCAACATCGCTCTGGTCTCGCTCGCAGACGATCTCAGCGCGCTGGGCTCCCATCCGTGCGCTGTCATCTTCCGGCAGGCCGAGCAGCGCGCGCGCCTTCTACGATCACTCTCATCTCTCTTCGATGAGCCCTGGTTCCAGCAACTCGGAATTTGGATCATTACGGTCATTGCAACACCGCCAAGGACGTCGCCTTTGCCCTGGCTGGTTAAGATGGAGGTTCTTGGGATGGTGATGTTGGCCCCACCATCCCCACGGTGTGGTGGATTCTCTTATCGATCCATCGATCAGATCGAGGGGGTCCTACGGCGTTTTTTCTTCGACGAGAGCCGCGCGGACGATTGGCGACGGGCTTGGAAGGAGTATTTTGAGCTTGGTGTGGTGGATCAGAGATCACTAATATAATAGGTTTTCGTCTGTTCTCAACTACCCAAACCGCAACATGGCCCGGGTTCGTCACTCCTCCCCGCCCGCGATAATATTCCAAATTTCTTCGTGAAACTGGCGCTCTCAATACACCAACAAGCGAACCACTATACGGCAACATCGGTGTCGCAAAGAGCCTTGCAACCTTCCCGGGCCCGATTTGCTCGTCCAACTCACATTCGCAACATGAGATTCGAACGGTCTGGGAAGCCATCGATGACGGGTAGCAAATCAGGAAGAATCATCAACTTCTAGTCGAGGACGGGTTCGTGTCTGATTTGTAATCACAAGTGGACACGGACGACCATTTCAGCCACTCAGTATTCGAGAAATCTGCTGGCAAAGTCATAAGCAGACGTATTTAATACATATAGTCCTAGTCACCAGGCGGTTACCGCTGTAGCGAGAATACTCAACAGAAGAAGCTGTCCTTGCCGAGTAGCCGCGATAATCGTCCATAGTCCCCGAGCACAGTTCGTAGATTGACTCGTCTAATAACTTCATTCCTTCCTTTGAAAGCACTGAGTATCTCCTGTTTCCTACACAAACATGTGTACCCTTCGATTTGTCGATAACAGACGATAAACAACTTCAGCAGAATAAGATGAGAATCCCCACACCAACACACGCAGCATATCGTGTCAAAGCAAATACACCTATCCCCAGCCAGCATCCCTAACCGCACCCTCTCCGCGCCCCTACACTCTCCTCCCACCCACAAAGTGCAACGAAGTCAACCCTCACAAGCAAATCACTGATTCTGCATCCCATCCACCAACAGGTACGGGGCGTTGTAGGCGTGCTCGCACGAGCTGGTCCACTGGGTGCTGCTGGACTCGGTGGCGGCCCACAGCAGGGCGCAGCCGCTGGAGCAGCTGCTGTCCGGGCAGGCGTAGATGGGCGGCACGTAGTCCTGGCCGCTGAGGTTGGACCAGCCGATGTCGACGTCGTACTCGTCCTCGCCCACGGACAGGCACTGCGCCGTCGTCAGCACCTCCATCGTCTGCGACCCGTCCACCTCCAGGTAGTGGTAGTCCGAGGAGCCGAAGCTGTGGTCGCAGTCGTCGCCCGCGGTGGAGATGATGACGCTGAACTCGATGGCCTGGGCGCAGGTGGCCAGGAGGGTGGCTGTGCCGAGGAGGAGGGTTTTGGGGATCATGGTTGCTGGGTTGGGTTCGGCTGTTGCGGGGTTTGGGTTGTGGTGGATGGTGTTTGTGAACAAATCTGAGAACCAGCGGGAGAGAGAGAGAGAGGAAATTTGAATATGGTTTTCTTGGGAGGATGGTTTGGATGGATGGAGGAAAAGCTGGTGAGCTGGGAATGAGCAGGCTCTTTATAGAGCGCATGCGGTCGCGGAGTTCGGGCTCGTTTTGCTCTGGCAAATGCTTCTTATCTGGCACTGACTCAACCTTTTCGACTGTGCTTGCGCCGATCATCACTTCAACAATGATCCTGGGCTTCACCGGAAGAGGAAAGAAACTCGGGTGCGAGGTCACCGTCGTCATATCGTCGGTGGAAATCAAGCTTTTGCGCCCTGCAGGAATATCTAGTTTGGGGGCGGAGGAATTAGTCTTGTATGATGAGGCTGCGGAAGCGGGTCCTCCAGGGTCCACCGACCCCTTGGGTGGAGTCCATTCGTAGCCTTGTCCAGGAGGTGGGATTGATGAATGTCAGGCCATGGATACTCGACCTTACATGGTATTTGTCGCGATACGAAGTAGTCATTCTCTTGGTATTACCTAGTCCCCTTAGACATCGATGCCCGTATATCCGCTTCATTCATCGGTTAAAGGAATGCCGGTATCTTTCTTTCTTCCTCAATCGCTTTTCCTAAGCCAATGTTTACCTTATCTAAGACCCTTGACTCGGTCATAATGTCACACCCGCCATTCCATGAGATTACCAAATTGTCTTTTTCGTCGATACTAGATAGGCACTGCGATATTGCACAAGGTAGATTGAGAGAGTGAGCCTGTTCAGTCAAAACTATACTAGTAGGGGATTGGTCCTTCACGACTTGGAATACATCCTTAGATACCGAGCGCGGTCTGGTCAGTACTCGACATGAGAAGGCTTCCAAGGTATATGATTGAGCTCGACAGTTGCCTCGAAACAGTACGAACGGTTAACTTATCGCAGGCTCGCCCAAGTCCTCCCCAAAGGAATTCGTAAGTGGAGACGAAACCATCCAGCACTTAGGTCGCACTGATTGATCTTTTCGTGAAATTGACTGGACTTTCCATCTCCTTCCCTTGGTGCAGCTTTGACAACCATTAAAAAGGGGAGGCATCTATAAAAGGAGTGTACTGCCGCGGGCAGGTAGTATTCGACGATGGAACTATGCCATGGAAGTATGCCTGAATCTTTCCAAAGTAACAGTCCGACGCCCCTTGGTCAATGACCGTATGCTGAATACCACGGAAACATTCCGCGTGTAAGCATACACTCTTAGTCGAGATGGCGATGAGATCAATCAGGAAGCGAAAACAACTTACACCAACGGCTTCTTGCATCAAAAGCACCGATCCGGCAAACCGAGAGGACATCTTGCGCGCCCTACAATGAGATATTGTTAGTTAGGAAAATCGATAGCCAATGGTGATGCTATCTTGGCCGAAACGTACGATATCAACGGCGTGATGGGGTCGATGGTGTTGCTCGCAAAGAGGATCGGGAAGGCCGTAGGCACCTTTAGTGCGCTGATATCGCCTGCATCACAGCCTGGTTAGACATGGAATTCAGTGCAGCTGGTCACCCATTTAGCTGAGGATAAAGTCTATCGAATGCTATAAAGGCAAGAAAGATGGAGGGAGGGCCAGGAGGGGTGTTGCCTACCCCGAATGTCCATGCTATCAGGCAACTGCGGTCGGAACGATCGGCATAAGATACCTTCTAGATAGATTGGGTAAATATCACCGATGTACTTGCTCTTGGATATCGTGTACTCCGCCCAAGTCTTGAACTCTTCAATGGTAGTAAGCTTGTTTCTCCGATAGGAATCGGTGCATGTAATGGCAAGACGGGCATCGGTTATAGAATTTGACTGGTCATACATGCCGGCGAGAGCGGAGAAATTCCCCTGTTCGGCCTGGCGTAGGATCTCGGCCATGCTAGGAAAACTTGCGAGAGGGGTGTAAAGTGTGTTGAGAAAGAGAGTCTTCAGGTCTGAATAGGTGACCATTGTTGGCAGCAGATCTGGATCGCCGACGCCGCTCAGCGCAACGGGATGGTTCTGAAGTTGACGGATGATGCCATCCATTCTTTCCGTGATGTTGGCCGGCGTGGGACCCCAAAATGAGCAATTTGCAGGGCCTGCAGAATAGCAGAAGGTCGAGAACGTTGCCAAGGCCTCGTCCATTTGATCGACATTGTCTGTCCAATAGTTGTTGTAATATTGCTCTGCGTTCAAAACACCGTCGAGTACCATTCTCCCAACGCGATCAGGAAACATGGAAGCAAAAGTGCTTCCGATGACAGTGCCGTAGCTGATGCTATAGCACCACAATTTAGCGGCTGATGGTGATTGTCCGGCCATCTCAGCCTCAGCTTCGGTAAATGTGAGCAAGTCACGAGCAACGGCGGGCGTAGTCACATAGTACGAATGGGGCGACTTGTTTTCCACGGCATTGTTGCACCGTTCGCCGTAAATAGAGCTTGAATAGTACTGTTCCTCGAACGATGTCGAAGAGATGTTAGAAGCGCCTGTCCTGTGTAGTCGATAGAAAGCCAATCTTGCCTCTGCAACCCCTGAGAAGCAGTCTAGATGCAAGCCACTGTTGTACACACCGCGAGGATCAAAGGAGACGAAGTTGTACTGCTCTCCAAACATTTGCCCGACGAGAGTCTGGTATGTGAGGAGGAGGTCGACACCAGATCCACCCGGGCCGCCTGGTGAATGTCAGTCCAGTAAAAGAAGTACAAACAATGTTGCCATGATCGAATGAGATCGTACCAGGTACGAGTACAATGCTTGGAGACTCGACGGTGGCATTTTTGCCAGCCAGCTTGATGAAGGCAATCGACGTTGTACCAAGACTTCTATTCGCATAGTCCAAAGGGACTTCCAATCTGGAACAACCAAAGGCATCAAAGCATGGTGCCCATGTGAGGTTGGCTGATGGTTCAATCTAGATGACTCGTCAGGAGCTCGAAACCCTTGGGCAAATGTGGTATCGTAGACTTGCGAACTCACGTCGTCAAAGCCATAGGCCATGGCCCGATCATGTAAACTGTGGGCTGTCAATCCCAAGCTCATCAAAAAGAATAGTGCGTTCGCAAATCGGCTCATTTTCAATCCCGATGGCTTCTTATTGATCCTTGTGCTGGCTTTCTTGGAATTGCCCAAACGGTTGCGATGTTTAGGAACTATTTATACTGTCTTTGCCCTTAAGGTCGTAACGTCCAATCTGACGGATTGAATAGGCAGCTGTATTCTGCCTATCAATTCAAAACACCTCCTTCGCTCTCTGTTCCGCTTGTACGAATAAACCAATCAATGGTTCTCTACAACCTCAGCCTGTGTAACTACGATTTAATTGAGATTCGTGCTCCTGTCTGTATGTTTACACCGATACTTGCGCCTTATCCAGAATAGTCAGATAGGCTCGACTCAGCCTCCTTGATGACCCACTTGTACGAGCTGACCAATCAATCCCCTCACAATCTGTGCTACTAGTCTTTGAAAGGTAAGGTATGATTTAAGAGTCCATGATCAATGCAGTGAGTCCCGGAGTCATATCATGGGTCCCAACATTAGGTAGACTCTAAGCTATCTACCTATGCAATCCTTTGCCATCACTGGAAACTCCTATTGAAGTACCCCCGCTTGTACGAACAAATCCATTAAGTTCAGACTTTCCCCAGCTTCGGCTGTTTGTGCTCTGTACTACTGTCCACCGTTTCCCACCCAGCCGCCCACCGTAAGGGATGTGGCGATAGCTTCCTCACTGGCGTGTGAACCGACAAACGGATTGTCATCTCAAACTTTCTTTAGACGCCCCAAAAGCTCACCTCTCGATGTCGATGCATGCATGTGGTGGCCTTGAAAGACCTGTGCCTAAAACAGTGCGCATTTGCAGATCTTATCCAGGTCACATCGCCACGATGGATGAGATGAAGAATGAGAATACCAAGGCGGGCAATCAAGCTTGGAGAAAAAAACCTCGCAAGTTCGCTCCAAAGTCCAGACTGGGATGTAAAACATGCAAGTATGTCTTGACTTTCACTTCTTGCATTATGGAGGTCAGTCGAGGACTACGAGATTGACATTTCTCAGGATAAGACGGATAAGATGCGATCTAGCTCGACCCGCATGCTTGAAATGCTTTTCAACCGGTCGCACTTGCGATGGCTATAGTGAAACGCCCTTCGCATCCAAGGTCGAGAAGGCTGAGACAGAATCGACTCATCATCATAAGGTGATCGTTGGCAGAGCAGATATTTGTAACAATTACCACCCACGTACGACGATCAGTGCGTACGAGTCCGCGCGATGGCACTCGAAATACCATGGTCTCAATTTGCGGAATCTCCAACCATTCATGATCTTACCAGTTACTGCGTCGACTGAGGGAGAGATAATGTCCTTTTTCAGGGATGTCTCGATCAAGCACCTGAATGGATACCGCCCTTGCGAATCATGGCGACAAACTCTCATGTTTTTCGCCCAAACAGTGCCAGCAGTGCGGCATGCTGCCATTGCCCTGGCCTTGATTTACCGAAATCAGTACCTGGATGGTCACTCAGATAATGGATCCCAGTATCAACTACCTTCGTTGAAGAACCGACTACCGGGTCACGTCCCTTTGATTCACTATAACCGCGCCATTCAACTTTTGCTGAACACGGAGAAGCGTGACAGCACCCAAACCATAGCGGTCACATTGATGATCTGTTACCTCTTCACCTCTCTTGATCATCTGGTGGGCGACAACGTCCAAGCAGTCAAGCACTTGCGCGGGGGGGTGGCGCTCTCGCGTAGCATCAACAACAACGCTACATTGAGCCGCGATGCCAATGACGATGCCCCATTTTCAGGGATCCAAGCGATTATCAATCAGGTTACCCAACAGATCCGCCGCCTGGACATGCAGGCCGTCATGTTCCTGGTCGACTGGACTCCCGTCAACCTCGAAGAGACATTCAAAATGTCCCATCTTGTCTTCTTCGACAACAATCCCTTCCAGTCCCTCGACCAAGCCGCCGACTACCTCCAGATCCTCGTCACTCAGGTAATGCGCCTTCGCAACACCCGCCACCAGATATCCCCGACGGGTACGATGCCACCGTTACCTTCTTGCCTCAACCACACCGTCCGCGGGCAGTTGGAAACATGGTCGCGTCGCTTCGAATTCTTCCTGCAGCTACCAGGCGGCAGCAGCAGCCCTTCTGCGCCAGCATCTAACACCCAACCGCTCGTAACACTCCTCCGCCTGCAATATACTATCGCATTGATACTCCTCGAGGGATACGGACCCGGCCGGGAAATGGACTATGACAAGTTTCTGCCCCAATTCCGGCAATGCGTCGCACTTGCGGGCGAGGTCGCGGCGGCGCATCACCGGTATGTGGGGTCGTCAGCACGCGCGACATTCACGCCGGAGATCGGATTCATCCCCGTTCTTTACATCGTCGGGGTCAAGTGCCGGCATCCGGTTGTCCGTCGTCAAGTCCTCGAGATTTTGCGACGGCAACCGATGCGGGAGGCGGCGTGGGATAGCATCCTGACTGCTCGGATAGTGGAGCGGGTCATCGAGATTGAAGAGAGTGGCAGTGGCGGTGCGGCTGAGCTAGAGCAAATGGCACCACAGTGCATGGAACAGATTTCCATACGGCAGAGGATCGAGGCATTGTCTTATACGTATTTCCCAGGGGGTGGGGGGTCAGCGGCCCGATTGGAGATTGAGTATACATTCTGCGCCCGGGAGGGGGTACACGTTGAATCACTTATGATATAATGAAGCGAGTCATTGGATGTCAAAGAAGCTGTGTTAATTATTATTTAGAGATTAAACCCACGTGACTCACATTGGCAATGGTTGTGGTCATAGGAACAGCAGAAGCCCCAAGTTATCGCCACGCAGCTCCAAGTGGACCATGTGCATACAACCCATGCCCCGATGAGCCTGTCACAAGCAATAGCCAACTTTAGCGCCTTAGACAGCTCTGTAGCTGCAGCATCCCACTTGGAAAGGCTCCATTAGGCTTTCGGGTCTGAACCATTCGGAATGATGTTTGCGACCGGTCCAAACCATTGGCAGACCCCCCGTTTCTGCCTGTCCCTCACCTTTCATTTTAACACCGTCCTAGAAAAGCCACCCGAGTCGCTGACCACTCTGACGACCAACACCATCATCTTCTTATACCGACCCACAGCTATTAGATGGGCGATAGTTGATCAGATATTCTGTATGGTTACAGTAGAGTGATGGTCACAAATCCTACCGCCACAGCCGTCTTGCGAGCGTGATGGGGTATGTGGTTCACCTGAACACATACCCCATCCGAGAGCGAGACACCGCCTCGCAAAGTAATCGCCATGTCACTGTCTGATTGTTTGAAGATATTCAAGAGACCCTGGCCTAAAGGGCATAGAAAGAAGAAGAGCCCCGAGGAAAGGCCTACCTCCTCTGCCATAGCCCTGCCCGCCTCGCCCAAAGTCGATCTCCGAATCGAAGCTTGTCAAGCAGATGACTCGATTGCTGGAGTCTTACAGCAAACAAACAATAAAGATGTGTCAATCAGCATGGATGACTCAATACGCCCTCCACCTACAATGCAGAGCGAAGCACGCGAAAACGACCCATACTTGCTATGTGCTACTTTGGAATCAAGACGACCCTTCTCGATCGGTGGGAGAGTGTTGAATTACTCGACGACCCTCACCACAATTCGGAAGGCGAAAACCTTCTCATGCTGGCTAGCAAGGCTAACCACCTTCATATCTGTCAGATGCTTGTGAAATTGCAGTTCCTGATCGGTTACCGAAGTCCCGCTGGCAATGCTCTCATGTCAGCAGCCACATACGGTCATCGAGACCTCGTAGAGTTCTTTTTACAACAAAATATTTCTCCTAACCTGGCTCACAGTGACGGTACAACTGCGCTCCAAGCTGCAGCGTTTTATGGTTTTCCCAATATAGTCCGGCTCTTGCTGAAAAATTGGGGCAGCTGTCGACAAGGTTCATCCACTTCGTGGAACTGCTCTTGCGAGTGCCGCTCAGATGGGTAAGCGCGAGTGTGTTCAGCTTTTACTTGACAACGGAGCGAATATCAACCGATGTGCAAGTTGGTTGTATGGGAGTCCCCTTTGCGCTGCGGCTCGGACTGGAGCGCTTGGCGTGGTCAAACTTCTAATTGATAGAGGGGCGGCTATAAACCAACCCGTAGACGGACTGTGCGGCAGCGCACTGGATATGCAGCCAGGTGTGGAAGGTTGGAAGTCGCGCAGCTTCTTCTTGACAAGGGGGCAGCAGTGAATCAACCCGGTGGAATCAGGGCAAGCCCTCTTCACGATGCAGCATATGGCGGTGATCCTTTGTTGGTTCGACTTCTGCTCGAGAAAGGAGCGACTGTCAACGGGCCCGAAGGACCACTGGGAAGTGAACTGATGTATGCAATGTATTCTGGACGGCTGGACGTGGCCCAGCTTCTGCTTGACAAAGGGGCGGCTATCGACCAGGAGGGCGGAAGATACGGCAGTGCTCTGTCATGCGCAGTACGTAAGAAAATGCCTGTTATGGTAGAGTTCCTGCTCTCCAGAGGTGCCACAATCGATATGCCGCTGCCAGGAAGCTTTGGAAGCGCTCTTGACCACGCCGTCTACGCCGACAGACTCAGCATTGCTGAGATCTTGATTGACCATGGTGCGAATGTTGAATTGTCACTCTCCACCGAGTTTGGAAGTGCCCTTGCGCGGGCTGCATTCCTCGGCCACCTTCACATGGTTCAATTCCTGGTAGAGGAAGGGGCGTTGATTGATGTGCCGCTTAGGAGTGGGCTCTTTGGGAGTAGCCTTGCGGCCGCAGCTGCCGGCGGAGATGTGCAGATCCTGAAGTACCTTGTGAATGAGGGTGCTCGTGCCAACCGGGCTTTGGTCACTGCCCGACATAGAACCGCATTATATGCTGCAGTCTATTGGGGCCATGTTGAATGCGTCAAGGCTTTACTCGACGCGGGAGCCGCTGTTGATTTCGGACTAGACGACCCCGTTTTTGAGAAGCCGAAAGAAATTCCCCTAGTCCAGATTGAGCTTGATTATCATAATATGGTGACTGAGGAATGGTTAAGATCGGCTCCTTGGGGAGACAGAAACGAATCTCAAATGGCAGAAGATAAGCAGGAGATCATGCGGCTCTTGGTGGAGAGACAAGGCAACGTACTTTACTCAGAGCCGTCCGTTGCGTTGCGGTATAGCGTCTCATTGTCTTCGAAGTATGTGCATTTCTGTTCAATGACCTTCTCTAGCTATCTTCTGTATTTCTTCCAACAGACTCTATGCAGACCACAATAGCCAGACTGTTGACGTTTTGGTATCTTCCACGCACACTGCCTAGCTATCACTACCACTCTGAGAGCTACAAAACAATCAAAAGAATCTTCTCGGCTAGCCTTCTTCATGTGTTCTTTTCTGGAACATGTTGGGTTTTAAATACCTACCATAAAGGTCGGTCGTTCCTCGTAAGTATCCTCGCAGAAGCGATTGGGTCCGCGACGAGGATAAACTGATTATCTGCAGACTGGCTGGGCACGTGGGCTAGGGGTAGCAAAGGAACAATACCTGGAATGGGACCTGTTATCCAATCGAACCATTCTATTTGCGGAGGGTCCAGATACTCAGAAGGAGACAATGTAGTTACCTAGCTTGATACTACATCCTTCACTTTCGATCGCGAAGAGTGGTTGGCTGCTCCCCCTCCTTATCGGTGCTTCGAACAGGTTTGCGGGAAAGATGACGTGCGAGGACTTTTGAGACAGACCAATCAGTCTTCTTAATCCATTTTTCATGGATGATTCGCAATTTAACCGTCAAGCATTACAACGTCGTGGCTACTGGCAAGCTTCCTTGTATTCGTCTTTGCTCATCACCACATCTTTTCCCCTCCACGTATTTAATATATAAATAGCACGCGTCTGAAGAGCATCTATGTGAACAACATCAGCATATGTCAAAGTAATCAACCAGAACGCCCCTGCCAACTCAAAGATGTCACGAAAAGTCACCCCTGTCCCAAACCCTACCGTCTCATACTGGCTCAGCGAACCACACTGGCTAGACAACCACCGCTCCACCCCCGAGCTTCCTTCCCACGCCGATATTGTCATAATCGGCACTGGGATTGCCGGTGTGTCCACGGCATACCACCTCACCGAGACCTACAAACAAGCCACTCGCAATCGCAATCGCAATCTTGACGACACTGCGCCCCCCTCGCACCAAGGCCAAAGAAGAGCGGAAACGCCACCACCTTCAATCCTCCTTCTCGAGGCCCGCACAGTGTGCTCAGGCGCAACAGGCCGAAACGGCGGCCACATCAAGAAACTCCCGTCAACTATCAACGAACTCATCCAGGTGCATGGCTTTGCCTTGGCGGGGGAAATTGTGCGGTTTATAAGAGAGAATATTTATGCCGTCAAGGATGTTATCGAGAAAGAGGCGATTGCAGCTGAGGCGGAGCTACGGAGGAGTTTGGATGTGTGTCTCGATGAGGATGACGCGAAGGCCGTGAGAGAGGAGTATGAGAAGCTGAGGGGGGACGGGTTTCCGCTAATGGAGGATGTGGGGTGTATCACCGGAAATGGGGATAAGGGGGTGGTGGAGAGGGTATGTACGGTCGATTTGGGATTGTCAAGATCTTCAAGGGCCTTGATTGCTAATGGGTGTGGGCACAGATAACCTCACTTCATGGCGCAGAGGTAGCCCTCAGCACACCCGTCCTCTCCCTATGGCCCTACAAATTTGTGACCCAGCTGCTAGAACGAGTCTTGCGTACAGGACACGCAAATCTACAAACAAACACACCAGTGACAGCCATCGAGACACAGGCCACTGAGGAATCCGGTGATGGAGAAGAACAATACGTGATAAAAACCCCTCGAGGCGACATCAAAACTTCAACCGTCATCCTCGCAACAAACGGCTACACGGCCGGCCTCCTTCCCCAGTACCACAATGTCATCATCCCCGCAAAAGCCACCGCATCGCACATCGCGGTTCCACCAGACCACTATGCGCCCTACCTCTCTAACACGTATAACATCCGGTACGCGTCTGATCGCGTCGATTACTTGAATCCGCGACCGGACGGTGGCATAGTCGTTGGGGGAGGAAAGGAGGCGTACCGCGACCACCGCGAGCTGTGGTATGATGTCTTTGATGACTCGACTCTCGTTGAGCCGGCGAGGCATTACTTTGATGGGCTCATGCAGAGGCATTTCCGGGGTTGGGAGGAGAGTGGTGCTGTGACGGAGAAGGTTTGGACGGGGAGTGAGTTAATCTACAATGGCCCACTCGATCTCCTATGACAGGAGTTCTTGATGCTAATAGGTATTTCCCAGTCCAAGGCATAACCAAAGACGGCATGCCGCATGTCGGCAAGGTCCCAGGGACGTCGGGTCAGTACATACTTGCGGGCTACAATGGAGGAGGAATGGCGCTTGCGTTTCTAGCTGCAAAGGGGGTTGCGAAAATGATAGGATATGGAGTTGGGTTTAGCGAGACAGGTGTCCCAAGGTGTATGGAGACAACAAGAGAGCGGATAGGTAAGGGTCAATGAATGCGAGACAGTCGGCGCCCAAAAGCTTTCAAAGGCCACGTTAGTATCGGAGGCTTAGCGGGTGAACTTTTGGGGGCTTCAGACCCTTTAACCGAAAGACTTAAGAAGATAGGGCAGCATGCAAAGCAGAGGTATCTTGGTGTTTCGCTGGAACAAAACATTATAAACAATACAATCACTTGCTTGTCAGAGCTTACACGCGGCAGCAGTGTAGATCGAATATTCATAGCATCTTTGGATTTGACGTTCGGAGTCGGAGGCAACTACTCTACACTTTCCATATTTTGGCGGTCATAGATTTAATGAAAGGGTTAGTAATCCGGCAAGCACACTGGCCGGAACCAGGGCTTAGCTTAGGGCTGATTGCATGAGGCGACACTGAAAAACAAAGAACAGCTGAGCTGGTCAGTATATCTTTTGAACCACTTCTTGTAACTGCTCTCAATGTATTAGGTTATAAATGAGTAGTAGTAGACTATGAGCTGTGTCTACGTTTACGATAAATACAATTGAGCTTTTATCTTCAGTCATACATCTACTACAAGCTTTCGGTCACCTGTATTATAACTCACCACATTGGACTCAGCACAAATTAAAGCAGGGATGAAGAGCTGAAACTCAGAATAGCTGAACAAAAATGGTAAAGGATGTAGAAGATTAAGATCGCGCTGCAATAGCTCATTGCTTTCTGCGCTGCATTCGATGGCATACACCGTATGTCATTGGCTGATAAAGCCTCGCTATGCAGGAATGTTATTCGGGCTAGACACTCGGCGCGTCTCCAGGAAAACGTCGAACATATTGCGTCTTTACACGGATGTTCGCTGATTATATGCCAGGAGATCTGTATCGATCATATCTCGGAGAGCAGCGAAGATTGCCCTGCTATTTCCCCCAAAATCCACAGACAACAACAGCTATCCATTTCCAGAAGTCCATCCTCAAACGTCTGCTCCCTCCCACCTGTTGGGGGGGCGCAGGTAAACCACATCTGACATAAACAACTATGCCCCTGTACACGCTAAAGAAATTCCCGCGCGCCGGACTACCTAATCACTCCCTACAGAGCCTCGACCCCGCTCCCGAAGCCGGCCGTCCTCAAAACACCCAACTCGGCAAGAACCGACGGAACCTGGCCAACGCCCCAGGACCCAGACCCGGAATTGCTCGGGCGCCGAGGGGATGGTCGGCGCACATGCGGACGTCGGCCATGGTCACGCCCTCGGGCAGCTCGGCTGGGTCGATCCTCATCACGCCCAGGGACCCGCACTCGGCTTCCGCCGCGGCGACCTCTTCGGAGGTTGCGTCGGGGCGGAGAGCGGCGAGGGCGGTGGTTGCGGAGAGGCCGAGGAGAGTGAGGTAGATGAGGGGTTTCATGTTGGGGTCGGTGGTGGTGGATCTGGCGGAAAGGCTATAGAGTGGTGTGGTTAGCGCTGGAGATTCAAAAACAAATGAAAAGGGAGAGAGGGCTGCTCTAGAAATACAGATGGTGGGGATGGGGATTTCGTACCTTTGAAACTCACGCCGGAATACTTGAGGGGAATTTGGCGAGTAGGATGGGAAAGGTGGCAGGCGCGAATGCGCTGGGCAATGAAGATATTGATATGTCGGGGAGCAGCGGCTTGGTTCTTGGCTGCTTGGCTGCTACTAACTGGCAAGGCTCAACGTCTCACGTGTTGAGGAGGGGCCTGGTGATGTTCAGTGTTGGTGTTCAGCGCTTGGCCTGGCTGGTGGGGAGCCTGCTTCTTTATACGAGTCGTAAGCCCTAACACCGCCGGCGTCGGGAAAGCAGGCGACGTGGTCGAAAGTCGCCCCAGGCAGCCCGATTGGTCGCTGATCCTCTTTTGCTTGCTGCCTGCCATATGATCACAGGGGCAACCTTGATCATAGATGGACAAAGCAACTCACTCAACAGGCCAGGCTCTATTCAACCAGAGGATTTGAGTCATGGAGCGCACTCAGTGAGGTCTCATGCTGCCGCCGCTCTTATCCACAGAAGTAGGCTCATGGGCGATTTTCGCACCTAGTTAGAATAGAGTGCCATCGTTACAACGCCCGTCGGGATTGCAAAGACGCGGTCCGGCCCGATCTTGTAGTGGGGAAACAACCATTTTTCTCCATGGGACCTTGGGGATTGGTGCTCTGTTAACATCCCAGGGGGCTGATAGTTCACGAAACGAGTCTAACACGGCAAATCATGGTGCCACCACGGAGATACATAGTAGTCTCAGATACTCCGCAGAGGCCAAGCAGAGCGAGGTGTCGAGGCTCGTGGCCCACTTTCTCTTCCAAAGTTGCCACGGGCGTCAACTACTCTAGTGATGCACAGCTCAGCCCAGCTTTGCCTGTTGTAAATAAGCGCAAGAATAAGACGCTATTGCCCCTGTGTCTCAGTTCGAGGTGGCTGACTCGCTGGGTCGTCAAGGGCCTGAGACAACCAAGAAATGACAGGGGCGTTGATTGGTTGGCGGCGATCATGATGGCACTTGGTGGAAACTCTTCTAACGGACACCGACGTTTGTCCGATTCTAGAGTACGATTGCTCCGGTGGTTCTGCTAGAACGGTGGGGTACTGCAGGGATATAAACCCTTGAAGCGGTAAGTCTCCCAACCAGACCGTGAAGTTCAAGGCTGATTGGCCATATGAAGTAGAAATAATCATCTTAACAGCAGACTTCAAAATGTTCAGTTAGATTATCAGCGCTGAGCGGCGTCAAAGATTAGTGCGAGGGGATCACAAGATCAAAAACATGTGATCTTTAAGAGGGTTAGAATATCTCGAATATGAGATTTTCTTTATGTTTATAATAGGTATTTTGAAATCAGAAATACCCCAACTACCCTGACATGAGAGAATACTTAAGTGTATTTCCTTATTTGCAATCCTAATATGAAAACCCTCAACCCCTAAGAACCCTAATATCTCGGATAGAAAAAGAGGCTTGGGGATTTACCTTCAAGCTTACGTGATTCACAAGAGCTCTGAGGGGGTTAGGGAGTACTGAGTCTCAGCATTCCTCACCTCCTCCAAGCTGGAATCCTAGTTTAGATTACTGCACCTTCCCAACGTACTAGCAAAATCGTCGGAGTCAACCAGAATCAGGTAGAGAAACGCTCCGAAAGACTTACCAAGTATCCTTGGACAGAGAGATAACCTGCGTGAGCGCAAAGGCTTTGGGAGGTTAATGGCAGTGCTCATTATATAACGTATGCCCAAGGACATCGCCTTGGAAGATTAGCGCCCTGGAGAAGCGGTCGTGCTACAAAGACGCGCCGTACGGGTGCTCCGGTGGGTATTGCTGGAAGGCCTGCGGGAATACGAACAAGGGCGAGTGGTGCTGGACGGCGGCCATGGCCGGGCTGGGCGCGTGGATCAAGTGCAGTAAGTGGCAGGACTGCGGGACGGCGACGTATGCGTGTGGGAGGGGAGGGTGTCCGGCTTGTGGGTTTGGTTGCTAGTGGGAAGGCTGGAGAGATGGTCGATGCGCTGTGAGGGGCAGTGGAGACATTGTGGTAGGGAGTTAGGGTCAATGTTCGGCTAGTGGGTGGTGAGCAGACGATTCAACACGTGTAGTCAAATTGGGCAATGAATATAATAATATAAGGATGTATCTGGCAGGCCCCCGGAGATTACTGTGTTAGCTCGTAGTGTGCGTAATAGTCATAGCTTTAGGTATATTCGCAGCCTCCAAATTCTGAATCAGGGTTGTCAACCTATCAAGATATGTAGCGTGCTTTCCTGTGTCCGACGTCGCACACGATGGGGATATTCTCTGGATTCTGCATTCCCGGCAAGTTGCTGATGCTATTTCCAACAAGCATTCTTCGACAATTAGAATTGTCGGAGATTCTAGTTGCATGAAGCCAGGATTTGACGGATGTGGTGGCGGCACGGCGGGCGGAAGAGTGGCTTCTTCGATCGGTGGGAGGGAATTTGTGTTAGCGAAAATGGAAGAGAGTATGACCCTTCTCTGGATTAGCCTTCTTTAGTGTTTATAATTTGTGCTCTATTTTTGGGGAAAGGAGGGGGGGAAAGGCTTCTGATCAGGGTGCAAGAGGTGCAATCTCAAATCTCATCAGCGAGAGCTTTGCTCTTAAATCAACAATCAATGTGTCTGGACTGTGCTAATCAGCGAAAAATCGCATGGAAAACAGGTTATACAGCTTTTTCTCTATACAGGTCATACAGTGGCTGTGCGGGTCTACACTGCCTAACAACATTGGATCCATCTATGAATTCAATGCCTTCTTCCCCCTGTATCGGTTTCTCAATCGACCCATCAGCAAAACATAGAATCATCTATGAGCGCATATGGTCAGCCTTAGAACCAAACCAGTAAGGATGGGACCAGTAGGTTATAGCTACCTTGGCCAAGTAATCCATGCAGTGCGGCCAGTGACCATCGTCATGCCAATCTTTACCGATATCTTCACCCTCACTCGCAGATTGGAGGGCTTGGCGCATCATTGTAAGGCAGTGTAACTGATGGAACCTATTAGACGTTGTTAGATAGGTCAATATTGATGACTGCGACACAGACTCACATGCTGATACCTCCTTGCTCCTTCCTGTTTCCTTTCTTCCCGGTATAGATCAGGCCAGCTGTGGTCTTGTTCATTGATAGCTCTGACCATAGATGATCAAATGAATGATCGAGCGACTGGAACTGTTTGTCTTGTGTGAATATTGTGGGGACTGTGTCTTCGGTGCTAGCCTTCGATACACACGACCTTGAATCGAGTTGTATGATTGAAATAGGCAGATTGAACAAGCTCAGAATCAAAATCACAAGGAGAATAGTGATCTTGGTAATAGGATGCAGAAGCACATGGGCAATGAAGGTTGACTGATTGTTCAAGTGACCTGACTTTTCATCTGAAAATTCGCCCGAGAGGAGACGGCGGTAACTCATACTGGGGAATAACGACGAGATGAAAATAAAATGTATTCCGCAACGGCTTTAATCGGACCAACGATACCTTCGCGTTATATACTTCTCTGTAAGATTGGACTGTTGGCACGCATACTATGTGTCTAGAATGGGAATCAACTAGGGAGGTGAACCTTTTCATTCCACACAGCTTTACATTTGAGAACCTCGCACTAACCCTTAGAAGTTGAGAATATTATAGCACATTTTGATCATAATATCTAGTGCCATCACTCCAAGTAGCGCTAGGCACTGTCTTACCTCTTTTTGGGCATAGGTTAAACTTTCTATGAAGATTCCAAACCTTATAGTATACCTCAGACAAGTTAGGCTCAAAATTTTAACAATTGTTGGGCTATTAGAGTTTAAAGGTGGCGTTGACTGGAATTCAGGGGCGGAGAGACTCGGTGGAAAGCTCTAAGGACAAGCATGCGCTCCTAACAGAGGTCGAAAGCCTTGACTCATTCGTTTTAACCCTACAGAATTAGCAAATGTCATATTCTTCTGATATTTCTTGGGTACGTACTCTCCAAGCGGATTATAACAAAGATTCCGATACTGGAAATGGATCAATTAAATTCAGGTAATAAGATCACTCTATGTAGACTGTAGTGCATATTGCGAAGGGCCAGATACAAACTTCAGATACATTTGACCAGGGGGCTAACTGTGTGTACAGTACAAAAGGCTTAAGAAAAGTTTTTAGGGTCGTGCGCCTGCGTTAGTAGGCTAGAGGCCGGCTAGTTACGTGAGGCTAGTAACCGGCACGGGCCCGTGGCACACATCATTTAAGCTTTACGTGCAGTAAGCAGCATGGAAATACCAAAACGTTGACTATTATACTATAAACCGGTAATTTTACTTCTCCTTACACGTATCTGCTAGGTATTAGTAGTAGGAAAGCATCAATCCTTTCTTCCAAGTCGATCCTTGACAAAGAACAAAGAAAAATACATACCGAGTCTAGGATTGAATGATCATCCCTTACTAGCAAATTGCTGCGGAATTATACTTCCTTTGTTCCAATCCCGCACAATCCGCCACAGTTTCTAATGCATGCAGGGGATCGGCTACGTAAGCATTCTTGTTTTTCCTGCCCTATAATTAATTGGCCCCCTGAACAGGCGCTGGTTCTAGACCAGCCCTACCTCGTGAGCCACGCCATTTATCGACAATATGGGGATTACAGTTGTTGTGATATTCGAACTTCGCTCGTATTGTAGAGCCCTTGACGAGATAGCTGAAACATCTCCCTGGGACTGCACAACTGCGGCTGGCCCTTCAACCCTTGTGACTGAAATCAACTTGGTACTTAGCTGGGTGTTGCAACGCAAAATATGTCTTTAAGGATTAGGCCAATATATTACCTCGAAGGTGAAATTCAAGAAATATCAATACTCAAACCGAAAGACCATCGAATGATAGGAATAAGGGAGAGGCTGGGTATAGTTGGCAGCAGGTATTATACAACATGCGACTGCAGCGGAATTACCTTGTAATAATAGTGTCTCGCCCGGTATCGGGTGTCTTAGGCATAAATTCTACCCGTGACTATTCTATAATCACACTGATTCGCGCTTAGTCGCCCTTGTCGCACAGTGGTAAAGCCGCTCTACTCCCGTTGACTCACTCTGAAGACACTCACGAATCGGACTTGAGCTCCCTCATCATCCCGATAAAGGCGCCATTGCAGCTTTCAGCCCACTTTGTCCTATTGCCAGCGAAGAGAAACTAAATCCGCTTCTCAATCGCTGCCATCAGACCAGTCTGGTCAAAGACGAAATCTTCTCTGTCTTGAAATGCTCCGGGTGCTAGATTTCAACCTTGGTACAAGGTAAGATAGAGTATTGTGAATGGTAGGACCCCAGCTTACATGGTACCTGACTAATAGCGTTGCGGTCAATTTCTTGATCTCGAAGATGGCTATATTCTTACCCAGGCACATACATCGTCCTGCCCCGAACTAGATCATGTTGAGATCAGCACATCGACACTGTCGTGGAAGGTAGTACATACACTGTGCATATTCTTCTCCATGATGGCGTGGCTGTGAGCATCAGACAACCACCTCTCCGGCCGCCACATATCGGCATCCTCACCAAACACCTCACTATTCCGATTGATCACCCATGGGCGCATACCAACAGTCGTCCCGAGAGGAAGATAGCGACCAGAGACAGTCATGCCCGTTGAGGGGACGATCCGCTCGAACGGCAGACAGAACGGGGGGTGCAAACGCAGGGCTTCCTTCACACAGGCGTCCTGGTAAGGTAAGTCGGCAATCACGCTCCACGGTTGATGTGACCGCGACAATCCATCAACGTCTTTTTGGGTTTCGAGCTCAGCCTGCAGAATGGCTATCAAGCTCCGGTGGGTGAAGAGGTTATACCAGAGGGTTCATATGCCCACTGCAGTCGTATTAGAAGCCGCGATAATATTTGAAATTGCCCATGTCGTCACAGCCCTGGAAAGAGGATTTTGGACCTAAATGACTTGTGTTTGGTGGGTAATAGGTCCCTTACGATGGGCCTAGTGTGTCCGCATATCGTTCGCGGGCTTCCTTGAACTGTGACAGGAAGTCTTTGGAGGTCTCTGGCTGATTCTCCGTCTCGCAATTTTCGATCGCCCTGGGAAGTCATGCCAAATGTAAGCAAAAATCAAGGTGAGCTTGAAGAAGAACTGATACGCCTTTTTGACACCAGGTCTGCTTAGGTATACTGTGGGGAGGGCTTTTTGAAACCGAGATGGATATCATGTTAGGACCCAGTTGAACAAATGTGCCGTGTTTGTCATGAAAATCCATATGGATTTCGTGCGAACGGCCGGTTTGCAACCATCTCACTCGCTGTAGATTGGTGAATCGCGCCCAAACCGGGCCGGGAAAATGTGACAATCTTTGATAGCCCGCGGTTGTAGCATACGCCAGGTACAGCCCTAGAATAAGCGCTGTGATCATCGATGGCATAATCCATCCCAGTGGAGAAGAATACGCATATAGAAAGAGCACTGAAGAAATCATGGCTGTCGATAAAAGGTCTCGTTCAAAATATACAGCCGCTGTGGGTTGTATGTGGTTGTGGAATATCCCCCCCGCAAAGATCTGCTGTCCGCTGGGCTATATACATTGCGCTCGCTATTCTCCTTCCTCAAACTATCTCGGGGACAGGGAAATTGCGTAAAGTCCTCGGGCTCCAAGTACGTCCGACCTTGACTTGAGACCACCCAACTATCGAACATATGGCTTCGTGGTGCTGGGATAGATTGCAGGTTGAATGAAAGGGGATGACCCTGTGATACTCCGTGGTTCTGCCTATAGAGCCATCCACATTGATCCACGAGTACCATCCCTGGCCAGCTAAACCACAACCCAGTGACATTTACTTGAGACTTCCTAGAAAGACCACTATTGTCAAACGATTCATCTTAATTGAGATATTTCACTTTCCAAGGTACTTCATATACCTATACCTAGTATCATAAGCCATGATTCCTACATTTGAATTCAACCACAAGATGGATTCCGTTGACAGCTTGTAACTTAGCTGGCTAGGAGGGTTAGTGTCCCAGCCGCACGGCCATCGAAGCAACCCGCGCCACAAGATCTCCGCCCCACGCCCTCTCCAGCTTCCTCTTCCGCTCCCCCTCCCCCTCCCCCTCCCTCGTCCCCGGCCTTGGGGGCCCATCCATCCGCGGGGCTTGACAGGCTCTCTGTCCGATAATTTCCCCCAATGCCCCTGGATCTGTGCGCACCACCGAAACATAATGGCAGGCCTCAGCACGAACGGGAGCGTCTCGTCTCCGCATATTTTCTTCACCTGCGCCTGCACCTCCCGGTCGACAGCCTCAGCCTCGACCCTTTCGAAATCCTGCTCATGCGGATCGTACCGCCTCTGGGCCTCCGCCAGCCGCCAATACGCCTCGACACGGCCGTGGTCACTCACATCCACAATCTGCACAGGGGCGTCGCCCAGCAGCCCGAACAGGCCGGACTCGGCCCCGGTCCGACGGTCCGCGTGGATGGCCATCCCCCGCACGATGACCTGCCAGCACGCAAAGCGCGAGAGGATCTCCCGCAGGACCGGGGGCGGAGTGGCGTTGTCGGAGACGTAGAGCCAGTCATCCATGAAGGACGCGCGACCAGTCTTTGCAGGCGAGGAAGTGGTGAGCTGAGCCGCCCGCCAGGCGAGGTACTCCAGGGGCGAGCCATCGTCGTCGGAGTTATTGCAGAAGTCCGCCGCGTAGGCCGGGGTCCAGTTCAGATGCACGCGGTCCCGAGCGGGATCGAGCCACGAGGTCACATACGAGGTGCTGGCCCGCCAGCCGGGCCCTTCTTCCCCGTCGGGGGCGAATCGTTCCGGGAAGCGGCCACTCTCGAGCACGATCGAGCGCGACTCCCGGCAGACGGCGCTGATGAGCGGGGGGAATCCGTTGATCCACGCGCCGTCAGGCGGATCTCGGCCGGTAGCCGGGAAAAGGGCTCGAAGGTCGTGAGCATGGTTTATTCGACTCTGTGCGATCAGACGCCCAGCAAAATCAAGTAAGAGCAGATGATTTGACTGGTTTCTGAAAAGTTTGTCCAAATGCGAGGTCGGCACTTAGGTAGCCGCATACTGCCAGCACAGATACAGAAGGGGACGAGGGGGCTATCAGTCTAGTAGTTATGGTTGGTTCGTCCAACTGGCATACCCCGTACTAGTGAGTCGGAAAACTTTTTGAGGCCACCCACTAGATCAAAGATGACTTCGATCTAAATTAGCTTGTTCTCACTGCACCACCACCAGGCTCCTTCCATTTCTCGTTAGTTCGAGGTCGAAGTCGAGTCCTGGCTGAACGCTGTGAAAAATAAAAAAACAAAAAAAAAAAAAACGCTGATTGCAACACTCAGTGCGCGAACTTGCTGTCTTGTTCATGTAATGAGCTCTCGACGGATAGTTTTGTTGGAGTTAGGATTATGGTTGGGCAGGGGGGAATCCGATCCGATCTTGCTATCTCTCACGTGATGAGATGAACTTTGTTATCAGGCGGAACTGCTGTACAGTAGTGAGTGTATACACCCTAATGGACACCTCGTTTATACATTACGTTTAGGGTCTCCAAACCATTCTGAAGGCTGAGAATCAACTTCTCGTTCCGAGTGCTGGGCATGAGCAAAATTTTATAAAGGGCCTTATTTCCTCCCCATCATGCATCTCGACCAACTGCTACTACTATCCCAGAAATCTCAACCATGTCGTTCTTTTCTTCCTTGGTTGTCTTCTCTTCTCTTCTTGCGGAGATGCTGGGCAGTGCCACCTGCAATTACATCGAGGTCGATTCTGTGGCGGGTGTTGGGGTCTGTCGCAAAGATGTGGCATCACACAGGCGCAGTTCGAGAGCTATAATGCTCTGACGACAGCTCTCTGCAATAGCAATACCCTTCAACCCGGTCAGTATGCCTGCTGCTCGCCCGGATCGCTTCCCGACTTCTCTCCCAAGCCCTACGCCAATGGTACTTGCTACACCTATAACATCAGCTCAGGCGACGATTGCCCCGACATCGCCAAAGCCAACCAGATGAATGTAACCAAGATCGCCACATATAACAAAGAAACGTGGGGCTGGGCCGGATATCAGCGTCCGCAGATCGGGCAGCATATCTGTCGGAGTGAGGGCACGCCCGCTTCCCAGCTCCCATGGACAATGCTGTGTGCGGACCCCAGGTATGCCTTTCCTCACCTCCAGACCTATTCCGGTCGCAAGCTCTGACTTTGAAACGAACGAATGAGTTTAGGTCCCCGGGATTCTCGAGCCAACCAACATGACGGCGAGCAATTTGATTCAACCTGAACCCGTGTCCTCTCAATGCGTGTTGCGACGTATGGGGCCAATGCGGAATTACGGACGAGTTCTGCACCGATGATCCTGCCGACACCGGGTAAGTGTGCTGCTGCTTCACGAATGAGTATTGGCTTCTTCTCTAATATGAGGGACTATCATAACTCTAGAGCGCCCGGCACGGCAAAGAACGGCACGAACGGTTGTATTTCGAACTGCGGGACGAACATCACCAACAACGAGGACAAGCCGAGCCAGGTCCGACGCATCGGGTATTTCGAGGCCTGGAACTCGGATCGACCCTGTCTGCACATGGACTTCTCCAAGTTCCAAGGCAGCGACTACTACACCCACGTTCACTGGGCGTTTGCCAACGTGACGACGAACTGGGCGGTCGACGTCAGCGGCTATCAGGATCAGTTTGATGGCCTGCTGAACCTGACGGGCATCTCGCGCATTCTCAGCTTTGGCGGTTGGGGGTTCTCCACCACCAGCTACACGTACAGTGTTTTTCGGACCGGGGTCCAGGCTGCGAATCGGCAGTAAGTGTTGCGCGTTCAGGCCGTGTGGATATTGGAAACTAAGTGCTGACACCGCAGGGTAGGACTTTCGCGCAGAATGTGGTGGACTTCATCGTGGACAACGATCTCGATGGCGTTGATTGTGATTGGGAGTATCCTGGAGTAAGTGGCATTGCATGGCCTTCAAGCAGTCCATTGCTTGGCGTAGTCGTCGCGAGTTCAACCACTGACGGACTTTTAAACAGGCTCAAGATATCCCTGGAGTTCCCGCTGACTACGTTGAATCGCCTCAAAACTACCTGGAGTTCCTCAAGATTGTTCGCGACCTCCTGCCCACAAGTAAATCACTTTCTATCGCCGCTCCGGCCTCATACTGGTATCTCCGAGCATTCCCAATCAAACAAATGGCCGAGTTAGTGGTCAGTCAATCTTCCCTCCCTCTCCCTTTTCTCGTGGCTGGCTATAAGCACCCCATGCTAATTGCTCTGGGGCAGGATTACATCGTATACATGACCTACGATCTCCACGGTCACGAAGCTGGTCCCCTCCACCCTGTCAAACGAGTTCATGTTCAATCAAAGTGCGACCACCCAGTGGGAGACAGTGCCGGTACTGGGCACTGGAATGAACTGTACGTCCCCTCCCTCTGTTTTCATGATACAAAGACCGCTTCCCGCTTCCCGTTCGGGAACGATAGGAACCCAACACAGCTAAGCTCAATGCGCCCAGACTTCGACTGCACCCTGGGCGACGGAACCGACATCCCGTGCATCAAACTCAACACCTCGTACACCTACGAAGAGACCATCGCCGAGAAGACGACCGCGCTCACTCTCACGGACTCGGACGGCTACGAGGCAGCGCTGGCCAACTTCGGGCTGGAGGCGGACTGGGTCACCCTGGGCGACTACGAGAAGGACCTCGACTTCGTGGCGCCGCACGCGAGCAAGAAGTTCGAGTACAAGTTCACCGGGTTCCCTAACCAGAACGACTCGATGGTCGTGCCCAACCCCAAGGACATCGTGACCAAGGGGCTGGGCAGCATCCCCAACCTCAAGACCAGCATGCAGGCGACCCTGCTGGACATCATGATGGGGGTGTGGACCAACGGCACCTCCTCGGACGCGGCGCTGGCCTACAGCACCCCGGTGTTCTTGCTGATGCAGGCGGTCGACGAGATGGCGCAGGCCAAGGCCCTGGGCCAGCAGGAGGAGAAGGAGGAGGAAGAGGAGGCCAAGCGGAAGAAGAACTTCATTCTCCTCATTGTCAGCGTGGTCCTGATGGTGAGTCTGCCATTTTGGTCTCCCGTCCGTCTTAACTTCCTTTCAAAGTTGGTGGCTAACACGGAAATCAATAGTTCGTCCCCATCGTTGGCGAGGAAGTCGCCGCCGCTGCCGGGATGGCCAGCTTGGCCCGCGCAATCGCCATCGCAGGCGAGATCGGCAATGCGGCCCTGGGCATCTACGACACCGTCGACGATCCCAGCTCCGCCGTCGTCAACATCATCGGCATGCTGCTGGACGTGCGCGCCATCGCCAAGGTCTCGCGCGACGGCCAGGGTATCGCCTCGGTCGCGAAGCTGCGCCGCGCCATGACCTCGGACGAGGTGGCGGCCATGGGCTCTATCTTCAAGGCGAACGACGATAATCTCCAGGCGATCATGAAGGTCTGCAAGTTCTAAAGACCTTTACTTTGATACAAACTCACACACGTACACACACACACACTCTCTCTCTCTCTCTCTCTGTCTCTCTCTCCCTCTGAAACAGTTCACCGGTTGTCTAGCTTTCTTGATGGTTGGGTTTCAAGTCAGCCATCGTCAGCAGACAATACACTCATTCACGCTTACCCACTCTTTATCATGGTTGGGAATAATCAATCTCTCATTCTTAGTCCGAGACAAAATTCCTTCTTTATACACAAATCGACCTACGACTTTTCCCGCATTGTACTGTTATGATGCATCTGGGTTCTTAGGGCTATCCTAAAGTGGCATAGTGGGGGCGAAGTAAATTAAGTATTACAGCTTCTTGATCAAGTAGTAAAGGCTATCCAGCATCGAAACCATAGAGTCCACTACATTCGTCACAATATCGCCTGCGTAGGTGGAAACTTCGAGGCCCCTAAAGATCTGGTGCCGGGTCAAGTAGCAATATGTATCTCAGAGATGGAGAATGATCGAATTTAATATATCCTAGGCGGTGGTTATCGGGTGAAAGAACACCACGGCAGATGCCATATACCCTTTCGTTATGTGGGGTTCCGACCTAGCTATACCTCAACGTCGGACTTGATGCACTGTAGAAGCCTAAACTAGATACGAGAAATCAGCAAGGAGGAAAGGATGCACCACAAGCTACTTGCATAACCATAGTCTATATATTTTTCTTCTCCAGGTAGTCTAGCACATACGACCACAGGGTGTGGAAAACAGGGCTTCCCGTCCGCTCAGCCGTACTTAAGCCACACGCCGGGAGGTTAGTAGTTGGGTGGGTGACCACCAGCGAATCCCTTCTGTTGTATGTTTTTGTTTCCTGAAATTCTTTCTCGATGCATCTCACGAATAGCACCAAGATCATCAGCCTTCAGTCCTACCTTTCAGCCGGGAAAAACAATTTATTCTCATTATTATTAACCTTACGTAGCTACAACTATGCTATGTACTAAAAAGCGACCGCAGTGACGAGATCCCCGGATGGTCCACAATCCACCCGACAGCCCAGCAGAAGCGATCCAGAATCTCCGAGACGTAGGTGTCCGAGCAGGTGGATGACCAGTATCGCAGTTCCAGCTGAATGCGGCCCGGCGACAGGACCGCGGCCAAGCATATATCGTACTATAGATGGGGGTTAGCGTTCGCAGCACTTCGAGGCTTATATTACAGGGGGCATTGCGATAACCTCAGTAGCATCATCCATCTCCAGCAGATTGAAGCCAAGTCCCGTGGTAGTAGACGCGGAAGCTTCGATCCGGTTGCACCGTCACCACGGTGTTGAAGAGCTGTTTGTCACCGTGGATCTCGAGCCCAGCAGCTTGTCGAACAACCTCGGGGGCCGAATAGTGGTGATGGTCGTTGCCCCGCTCGATGCTCATTTGGTTCACGCGCAGTATCTCTAGGACCGTGCGTGGTGCATTGTCGTCGCCATCCAGCACCATCCGGCAGGGAAGATGTTGGAAAATGGGCCCACTATTTGCCAGATGTGCGGCTGGGCGACGTCGCGGCCCGACACGATGCTGCCGAAGCAGACGTCTGCGGCGTGGGCGTAATGCTGCGGGAGCAGCGCCCAGGCGAGCTGGAAGATATTGGCGATCGTCAGGCTGTTCGAGCGCCAGAATGTGTCGAGACGAGCGAGATCCTCCGGCTTCATCAGTCGGGGTAGGGAGCGGTGCTCGGGTTTGCGGTCTGAGTGGACCTCCAGCGCCGGGCGCGCGAGGTGCAAGACGGTCTGAATCGGCTGTCGCTCGAGCTCGTCGAGCAGGCCGGCGCCGGCGCGGTCATCCTGGCGCTGCTGGGCTGCGCGGCCGACATCCGCGGGTTTCTGGCCGCCAGAGGCATCTCTGTGCCTGTTGTTGACCCTGTGCCGGCCACCGTCGCCTTGGCTGTCCCCTTGGTCGAGCAGGGGCTGAGCCACAGCAGGGTCAGCTACCCGCCGTGCCAGGTCAAATCGTACAAAGGGTATGAAGTGGGGAAAGGATCAGTGACAGCGCTGGAGAGGGTCGAGATCAACCTTGGTAATGCAATGGCATACATACTTTTTAATTTCTCTGCAAGGTGCCTTATTGGCGTATGCCCCCCTGGAGATTGTTGGGATTGCAATGGCAGATGATAGGATACAGAATATGCTGGCCCTGACCATGCTCAGAGCATCAGGAGCACAACCATCAGCACAGGAAAAGAGAAGACCACGTCGGAAATAGCCTGATGAAAGAAAGACTCCGGAATATCTTCTCACCCTCAATCGGCCAAGCAACCACCGTGATCGAAGCCATTGTTGGACTTCTGCAGAGATGGAGGAACTTACGGCCGCAAACCGCGCCGGTGAATTCTCAAAACTGCTTCAGTCTTTTTTGGAGGTATCAAAGTATTTGTGAAAGCAGAGTGGGACAGTCCGCGGCTTTTCCAAAGTGTTTCGAAACAGCTTGATTGAGTCGCGCCGGAGCCGGTCTTCTGATGACGCTTAAAGTGAACGGACCAGCCCTTGAGCTTCTGGAATCCTTAGATCGCACTTAGTGTAACTCAGTGATGGGCTGACGCATCTTGGTGCTCAGTTGCGCAAATGTGACTTCCTTCTAGCTCGGGTGTCTACGTTTACTGTAGAAATCCGGGTGGGTGAACAGGGGTATCTTGCCTTGGGATGTAATGGAAATATCTTGCCTTGGATGTAATGGAAAACTACTGCAAGGATCATAGATCTGCTGTGTGTATTAATATTTGCGGAACCACGGAGTACTCTTTCTGAAAGTCTGCTTGCGATACACTAGCTGGGCGGGAACTTGGATGTAGTCACACAAGTGGTAAAGTTAGGCACTCGGTCAAAAGTAACAAAAAATGATCTAACCGACCTACATGGGGATCGAACCCACAACCTTCGGATTAGGAGTCCGACGCTCTACCATTGAGCCAATAGGCCCGAAAGCTGTCAATGTTACACTATAACAGGACCGAGGCCAAGAATCAAATTGAACTAGAGTCCTTAACTAACCAAGAATTTAGTTATTGATTGTAGGCCAAAATATAGAACCCATTGCTTGGATTACTGAGTATAGGTATAACAGCGTCTTGATAGCTTGGGCTTTCTCAGCAGGATATATCGTCTCACAAGTGCTTTTTTGTTTTGTTCTGAGCGATTTGCAAATCAATTTACTGAGTTGTAATTCAGCTGGCTGGGAAGGATAGTGTTTCGCCAACAACAACTTACAGAAGTGAATGTTTTGCTAACAATTCACTGAGAAGGGTTAGCCATCGTCACGGGACTTCCTGAGGAGCAAGTTTGTCTAACTGTGGTCCATTGGCTCAATGGTAGAGTGTCGGACTCCTAATCCGAAGGTTGTGGGTTCGAGTCCCATGTGGATCGGTTGATCATAGTCCGTGGGAGTTCATTCGCTTCGGTGAAGTACCACAGACGAGAGCACCAATTTCTTTTTCTTCCTACTAAGTCCCTGGTCACGGCGAATATCATGCACAGAATGTGCACATATAAAACATTCGTCTTCTGTTACGAAAGAGGGGAGAAGAAACAAAAAAAACAAGGCACCCGGATCAATGGTTTTCAATCTTATTGTTCGCTTCCCGTGAGCAGGAATGGTAAGTGACGGTCGAGTATCCAAGTAAATAAGCATAAGCTTGAAGTGCTAGCAACGCCCCGACAGCTAGTCTTGCTAGCCGGCTTCAAGAATTTACACCCGTAACGTTCAACTCAGTGACTCTGGCAGTGGTATTTATGGTTGGTGGTTGGTGGTAGGTGATTCGAGTCGGGTAGGTGATGTGACCACCGAAGCTAGTCGTCGAATAGGACGATTGTCCCAATGAAAAAAATGACATTGTGGGTTGGGATCATTGATCTACTTTATAGGGACCAATCGGGCCCCCTATGGGAAAGTTCCAAGTGATGATGTTGAGCCTAAATATGATAGTTCACAAGTTCCTGCTGTCGGTTGTATTTCATGCATTACACTATTAATACAACAACGTTGAAACAAGGAAATGAATGCGGCTCAAGTTTGTGACTATCTTGAACATCAATCCCCTAATCACCGAAATCTTCCTTGCTTTTCAGTGTAGGCCTGGGAAGCCTCTTTAATTCCATGACAACTTAAGCCGTTACCGGTGTGGACTCATCTGGAATCCATTTCGGTATACCCCTCATCCCTGTGCAAAGACCAGACTTTTCGACTAACTATTTGGCCGATATGCTTTCTCTTAGGGACTTGCACACTATCATCAAATTTGGGCTTGGTGGGGGCGGCCGTCTGTAATCCGACTCCGAGAGACTTCATTGCATGTAGCGGAAATCCCCTCCCTTATGGCCTAGTCACTTGCATGCATCAAGTGCCTCGTCTTCTCGAATCATTACCTTCGAAAATGAGGTTCAAGGCTCGAAATGATATCGTACGGAAAATCGGCGACTGCTTTTTGTTTATTACCGGTTGATCTATGAGCTAGGCTGCGGCTTCTCCTTACCTATATAATCATCCTGCAATGTGTTCAGCGACATAAATGTGGCTCTTCAAATCTGGAATGCAGACTCTAACAATAAGAGAAAAATGCAATATCTTTTCTTGATTTTCATGGCTCTTGTTCCAGTCGTCCCTGGAAGACTATGGTCTCTTTGAATTTCGATGGCGGTATCTGAGGTCTTTCACTCACAACCCTGTCAGCTGATTTTCTAGCCCTAATCTTTATGTAGCATACCTACCGCTCAAGTTATCTGTTTATCACCTATGTTGATTGCGTGCATCAGCTTACTATGTCTACTGTATTGTCTTCTTATTGTACTCCGTCATTTCTATACTTCGTGTTCATTTGTATAGGGGGCGGTATATGTCATCGGAATCCTACCGCGGACGCGACTCGGACTGTGAAGAGCAATCGAGACTTCTTGATTTAGAGTTCTACAACACGACTTTCACAGTCAGCGGCGTCAGTTGCATCAAATGTCATGTAGTAAACCAGGAGGAACCTCCTGCGCGCCCATGGCTCGGAAATCGATCGCCGGGTAGCCATTGGCTCACGCACAAATAATGACGGCAGCTGCCGCTTTGTCTGCCCACCTTTCCCCGCCTGAAGTAGAAATCACGAAGTGCAGGTTGCGCAGGTTGCGATTTATTGCTGTCATTTTATCTTTTCTTTTCCTCTCTTTTCTCTTTTCATTTTCCCTGCTTATCATTGTATATCAGAATTGTAGGCGGAAGGAGCTGTGCAAGGAAGTCTACAACAAAAATGTCCAATGCAAAATGTTGAATATGAACCGGAGTACGGTCGAAATGCTGCCAATCCGAGTAGTCAATCCACTTCTTTCAGCACATTCCGCATGGAATCCGAGAGGGAGGGGCTCCATCCCCGCCTTTCATGAAATGTCATCTGACACCAGCCATTTGCCACAGACTCCTGATGTCATATGGAAAGACAAAAGCCTACTGCTCCTGCGGGTTGCCGAATTGTATAAAAGTCTCCATGCCGGTGGGTACAGTAGCAGTGCGGACAGAAGGCCAACTTAGCACCCTACAGCTTTACACCATCGACAATCCCACACATACCCTCGGTGAAGTGAAACAGATACCTCCACTCACCACAATCCCCAGATCTAGCTACAATCAGACAGACCCAAAGCTCTAAACCATTTCCAGATATCAACAAATCATGACTACCTCCCGCAACATTGAGCACTACAAAACCAACGTCCACGCCCACTGGGAGGGCAAACACGCCAAGGACTGGACGGAGGTTGACCTCATCGGCTACGAGAACGCGACGAATCGCTTGTACAACGAGCTGTGCGCGCATCCGGACGCGGCCGTCGTCCAGGTTGGCCATCGCTCGACCCTGCTCAACAACCACGGCCGGGACTACCGGTTCAACGGCAAGTTCTCCAGCGAGCAGACGCAGCCGGAGCGCAGTCACCATGAGTACAACCGGTTCGGGAAGCTGATGAAGTGGGAGGGCGATCGGTGGTATGCGTATGATTTTGAGGTGGAGATTACGGATCATTAAAGGGCCTAAGAAAGGGGGGGTTGGAGGTGGTTAGGGCATGCTAGGAATTATGTCACCAGGTTAACTATTGCGCTGAGGTTGGTTGTGAGTGATAACTGAGTCTCTGAGGCTGGGGCTTCGCGGTTGCCTCCATTTTATTGTCTAATCAGGACCATGTGATCGCCAGTTGTTTCTGACCTGCAAGAAGATAGGTGCCGGTGTAATACCTGGGGAGGGATCTGATCTCAAGCCCCCAATTTACTGTTTCACTTCATCATCTGACTAGAGGTCTTGCTGTGCTCACTTTACAACTGGCACATTTCATCGATGCATGTCGCCGTGGCCTTTGCGCGGCAGGCACCACAACTATAGACAAAAGGATCAGTAGACTCCGACCTTGTATCTTGTGTCTACCATGTGTGCTGACACACAAGCCACTAGCCTCCATTGATTAGAAACAAATTTACCCTTGAGTCATTCCGATATGGCTTTGTGGTGTATCCAGTTCGGTCGCAACTACAAACGAGGTGGATTCAAGATATCAAGCCTGATACATTTAAACAAACCAGTATAGATTCTCCACCGTGTGTATTCTCGACCTGAGAAACGCCAAACGGGCCGCCGGGGCTCAGGGAAAACCCGAGCATATAGACAGATTACCTAGTTTCCGCCTTACAGTACCTAAAAGGTGGCTGTTACGATATTCCGCCGCAGTGGGCCAAGTTGTTAGGATTGGTGCAGCAAAACTGGAGTATTCATTTATTGGACTGTCGGGAGAAGTAATTACCTCTTTCGGGACCATAATCCTGCTCTTCTCGATGGTTATCTATGAATTGAACTAACAAGCGTGCCTCAACCGAGCAACAATGCACCACCTCGCTCTGTTCTCGGGCCCTTCCTCCTCCCTAACCTCGACCCAATCTCGTCTGATCTCGCCGTCGCCCTCTGCCCAACTCGTGGTCTGGTCCCGCTCGTAGATTGTGTCGACCTCCAGGCCCATCTCCATCGCCGTCTTCAGAAACTTCACAACAACCGGCCTCCCCGTATGAAGTCCCGCAACGAGCCAGATTCTCCCCTCGGGGGCAAGGAACCACTTCATCGTTTGGGCGAGGTTCTTATGCTGCAATTCCATCCAGAGGCAATCGGCTGCGATGATGCGCGTGAACCGGCCGCGGTTCGCCATCGCCCAGGAGTCGGACGCCAGGGTCCCCCACTCATGGGGCTGGACGGAGACCGCACATCCGTTCGTGGCCGGGATATTGCGTTTCAGGTTGAACGCAATTGCACCCCGCAGCGCGGGCGATGAGGGATGGTCTGTAATGGTCACTTCTGACGCGCCCGCAAGGATCGAGACTGTCGACGGGAGTGCAGCGCCTAAGTCCAGATGTGAGTGGGTATTTGTGAGGGCAAAACACATAATAAGATGAAGAGGATGGGGGTGACCAACCAGCGCCTAGTTCCAGGACTTTCTCTCCCTCTACCCTCCACATCTCGTCGACATGTTCGCGACCGGCATGAGCATCCTCGACGGCCTCCGCAACAATCAGACCGGCACTCCACACGAAATGAGCGAACAAACTCCTCTGCGCGTCTACTTGGCCCGGGTCAGAGTTTGAGTCTACGCTGTTGACCGACGAGTCCGAGTCGCTCTGTTTCGGGCTACTGGATGCACTCCCACTCTGGTCGGGGTAGGACGGAACTTGGATGGTCAGATCACCATAGCGTGGCGAGGAGTAAAGGAGACATTGGCCCGGGTCGCCGTGGAACTGTGGTGCATCGTCGGGTAAGAGATGGGGGAGAAAAGCCGCGAAGATATCTTCGGCTTCATCTTCGGCGGCCGCGGCCACGGCAGCATCACCGCGCAGGTCATCCGTCGACGAGGGGTAAGGCAAGGCGGGGAGAGGGCGAAGGCGGGACAGCAGCATTTTCAAGTGACCGTTGACGTGACTACTTCCGGTCAAAAGTTACACACATGTAAGTTGCTTATCGGCAGTCGAGGAAAAGAGATGTCGGAGTGGATTCGGTCCTCTTTGAGAAGGGTTTATGAAGAATTAAGGTGTAGCCACCCACTAGACTACCGAGTACAGTACTTATCGGTTCCCCTGATCCACTCGTACTCACTCTGTTGTGCCTTCGATCTGGTTCTGCGCCCCTCGGTCGAACTTCCCTCGACTACTGACCCATCAAATTGTCCCATTTGCCCCACCACAAACAAGGCTTCTGTTTGTTACCATGGCATTGTTCTCTATTAAACACCACTCACCGCTCAGTGAAGTGAATCCACTGAGTCCAAAATTCATCCAGGGTTATCCAATCTCTACCACAGCACTTGCTCATATCCAAATTACTCCTAAGCTATAGGGCTAGTGACAATGCACATGAGAAAGACTTTATACTTATGATCCCTAGTCTTCTTTCTTCCTCCACTGCAAACAATGGGTATTATACGGTTCCACTACCTTACCGCCTGCCAGTTGAAGCTGTTCTGCTGCCCTCCGCACAGACTGCCGCACCCCATCAAAACACCACAGACTGAGTTGGGGATAACCGGCTAACAAGTCATATATTGCTTAAGAAATTGCGTTGACCAGGCCTATTCAACAGTGACCGCCACGCCTTATCCTGTTTAAGATTGACTTCTTGACTTTGGCATGTCAGAGCCAAATCAAAAAGCCTGGTATCTATGTCGATAGATACCGGGTACTTCATGTAAAATCAAAGTTACTTGCGCAAAATGAGCAAGCAACATGAAGGAATGAACCAGAAGAAGTAGCGCAAGATCATCTTATGCAAACGAACGCTGGAAGACATAGAAAATATCGAAGGTAGAGTCGCCAAGGTGGCACAGGGCGTTTGTTTAACCTTTTTTGTATGTGCCTTTGATCCCTGTTCACCTTGGCTAATAACAATTCTCGTGAGCAGAGATGACTTCTCTGCAAGCCCAAGACAAAATCCGAGTCGTTCACGTCCAGACGAAGGACAAAAACCTCACGTTCTGTGGCGTCATGATTTATGTCGACGTCCTCGCCAACTACCAGGGTGAGGGGTTTTTCGCAAAGTGCAATTCTTGACTTTCATCATTGGTTGAGACGCTCAGATGGCGTCTGCAAAACCTCGCGTCTTTGAGTGAGACATACTAAGAAAGTAGGGAAGGTCAATTGGTTGAAGCAAGTTGGCCATAGGTGTTTTGTAGCCACCATTGATCACACTTCATCTGTTCTAAGTTTTTGATTTTTTCTGTTTTCTTTGAGATAACTGCATAGGCTTCTGTTGAAGATGCGTGTCCTTGATATCATTTGTTCCTGTCCGCCTGGTTTCTGTCGTTCACCAATATCGTGGGACTGATTTTGACGGATAAGATATCTCTTTGACAGGTGACCTCCGCAGCCCTACAATAAGTCATAAGAGCGGCAGCGTCGATGAGCTACCATAACCACCAAGCTCAACATCCTCTGCAGCCGCTCTGATGAAAGCTTATGACTCTGGATTCATTAAACCGGTCTCGAGGTCTTAGCGCCGATTTTTTTTTGGAAGTCAAGATCCTGATCTCCTTCATGCAGTTTAACCTCGACATTCGCCTTTACGTTTGCGCAAAGCGGATGACACTACCTTTTCCTTAACAAACAAGTACACCACTTACCTCGGAATCTGTTACTCCATCATCAAGTACAAAAACCAACCAGAGTTATACAGCACAAACATCATTACCAGTGGGTTTACACAGGGACGTTGCTGAATATCTCCCCTAGACGCAACCTACAATGCCTTTGTCTAATAAAGATTCTTCTTCAATAGCTACCCTATATAAAGAGTGATCGAATATCATACCGTCTTCTTTGTCCTGCTCACTCCCTACTATATCATGTCTCAAGGGTAGATCCTCTAGGAAACAATCCAAGGCCAAGGACTGAGCAATGCCGATCACCGTACCACATAAACGCGACTCAGCGGGTTTCCCGCAGTCGGGGCCCTCATATCAGCAGAAAGTGGTCTCCTTTCGACCCATCCCCAGCCCAGCACCCACCTGGTGTGCGGTCTGCATCCTGAGCGACCAAGCCCTACTAAGCCACGAACTATACTTCTGCGGGACATGTAGAGCCATGTACCACCGGCCCTGTCTCTACGCGCTGCTGCTGCAGCGGAGCCATCAACCCTCCTCCTCGGCAGGAGGTACGTCCTCCGCGCCAGTAGCGCTCTACAGGTGCCCAACCTGCGGTATCGAGGGGGGCCAATCCCCCACCCCCTCGGCTCCCACAGCGTCTGCAGCCCCCCGACCCTTCATCACCACCCCCTACCACTACGACCGCACCCCCGCAGGACTCTACGTGTGCACCTACTTCTCCACCGCACGGGATGGGACGTCGCGGTCCGCGATCTGCACTTCAGCGCGTGGCCGAACTACCGCGCACACCATCATCAGGCGCATGAACGGGCGGCCGATGCAGGGCATTCGTGTGAGGGTTGCGCCGTAAGTAGTAGTAGTAGTAGTAGTAGTAGTAGTAGTGGCGGCGCCAGCACTGCTAACGCGATAGCGGTAGTACTCACGCTAATGCTGGTAGGGGCGGTATCGGTATCACCGCCAAAACTAACCCCGTACCTGGGCAGCTCAAGCGCCGACGGTCATCCACGGTGTCTACTTCGTATGCTTCGTCTTGCCCCAGCAGCTTCGTCTGCCCCAGCGGCTTCGTTTGTTCCACCAGCTTCATATGCCTCACTGACTCCGCCCACAACCCCAGTGCAACTGGGACTGCTCCTGCAATCGCTGCAGCAGCGGTACAGACCGCTGCCCCGACCGCAGGCGCAGCCGCCGGTCATCCGACAACGCCGGCCACGGTTCTGCCCGCTCTGCGCCGGGGATTTCGAGAGTCTGGTCCCGCTGGTCCAGCATCTGGAGGTCGACCATGCCACGGAGTTTTTGATCTGTATGTTGTGTCTGTCGTGGCGGACGGATTGGTGGAGGCTGCTGCTGCATCTGGATGAGGATCATCCGGAGTGGGATGGGCTGTTCGAGGATCCGTCGGCGGTTCGGCCGGGTTTGCTTGCTTAGGACGGGTTGTTTGGAGGGCTATATGTAGGGTTCAGGGATTTATAGTATCATAATCAATTTTTATTTCAAGATATATATAAATAATATTCTGGATAGATGGATTTGGAAGAACACGCGATGGTACATACGTAGATACGTACTAAAAAAACAATGCGAGTTGAGTAACTCATGTACTAGCGCTTGTGAATCACAATTTGTCGACAAACTGGGTACTTTGTGCGTGTTGTTAATCTCCCTTGTTCTCACCATCTATTTACCTGTTCACAGTAGTATCCGACTTTTAATCACCTGCCCCACAGGAGAGCGCATAACAGGATCCTACATATATGAATAATCCATAGCTCAAGCCTCCGAGGAATGCAAAATAAGAGACCCCGGCCATTGCATCGGGAGACCCACCCAGTCGCATCTAGACCAAACATGCAAGCATACAGGCATGCACGCGCCCCACTCTTACCGAGCCAGCACGCCCCCCAACAAAACAAAAGTGAAAGCCCAACGCGGGGGTTGAACCCGCAACCTTGAGATTAAGAGTCTCACGCTCTGCCGATTGAGCTAGCCGGGCTGGTTGGTTGAAGAGCTGTGCCATGCTTGCGAACATATTCCCTCACAAACCCTACTCTATAATAGAATTACTGCATCATCGCTTGCACACCTGACAGTCAGTTTGAGGTAAATACAGAGTTTGCGGTGGACAAAGCTAGTCTTACCCCCGAGGCTGAGCTAGCATGTGCTTCTAGAAATCAACGCATTCCGAAATCTGTGGCTGTGTAGCAAAATATGGATCGGTGTGGTGGTTGTATATATTTGCGGGGGTGATTTGCGCGTCAGAACGAATCTGGTCAGCAGTCCTCAGCAACGCACCTACATACGTGCATTATCATACCGCAGCACAGACCAATCACTACACTACAAGCCACTTCAACGACTCTCAACACATATGACGATGGTTGGCATCGATTGACCCTCTTGTATGTACACATCATTGCCGACGCTCACCGAAGCGACGGTGGAGGAGCCGAGTGCCAAGGCGGATATCCTCTCGGGATGTATTGATGCCCGATAATCCAGGCGAAAGGTCGCAGCGCAGGCATTCCGGCCGACTGGTCGCCTCGTCCACAACAGGAGTCGGCGCTGATGTGCATGGTGTTCTGCGGACCGACATAACTGTGCTCAGGGTGGGCATATAGGCAGACGGGGTGGTCGTAGAATGGGACGCAAGCAGAATCGGGCGGATTGCTATGCAGGAGGCAAGAATCCCTGTTTCAAAGATAAGCGGAGCATCAAACGAGTAATCAACACCGCCAAGAAAAGGTGTGGGGTTAGATCAATCGAAATCGGAAGTGGAAAGGGTCAGTTTGTTTGCAGGATGAGAAGATAGAAAGTCAGCAGACTATGTGCAGATGAAATGATGGAAGAAGGAGGGGAGAGAAGAAAAAAGTAATAGGGAAAATGACCTCAGAGGGTGACGAACATGATAAAAAAAAGTAGACAGCTGGAGGCTGGAGTTCACACAGTGCCAGAGCCGCCGGCAGGAAGTGGTAGGATCCGAAGTCGAACCATACAGCATAATCACGAAAGATGGCAGCTAGTCGGACCTGCTGGAAGTGCACGCTAAGTCACCCGCATACAGTGCTCCATGCCCAGACCCCCCAACTAGACCTATATTTACCAAGTAGAACGTCATACTTGAACCATCAAATGTACAGATTAATGTTCCTGTTCATCATATTCACAAAGAAGCGAAGTAAAAAAGTAATCAACAAACAAAAACGTAATCATCACACATCACAAGGCCAGATTCGCGCAGCTGAACGCCGGCGAAACCGACCCGGCATAATCCGCAATGATCGCCTCCACGGCCGCATACAGCCCCGGGCCCAACAGAAACAGCCCACACGCCATGATAAACACATGGATCACCGTCATGATGCTGCGTCCAGCGCCGGCGAACAGCTTGCCCTTGTATAGTTGCCAGTACGCCACGGCAAAGAAGATGAATCCGAAGAACGAGTCAAACGCTGCACCTAGCAGAGACAGGAAGTCGCCCATGCTGGGGATGACTTCCGAGAAAATGAAGCCCAGAATCCAGATCGCCGCCATCAGGCCCAGCCACACCCCCCAGCCGATGACCGTGTTGCTGTGCGCGTGGCGCGACCGACCCATCAGATGTCCGAACACGAACTTGGCGCTGACGTTGGCGTAGATGACGGCGATGATGAGAGTGGGCGCGATGACGAAGCCAAAGGAGGCCTTCTTGTACGCGACCGTCCCCAGACTACCGAACGCCGGTGCGGTGGCGTACTGACCCAGGTAGCGGAATCCGATGGCCGGGGGGACGATGAACAAAATGACGGAGATCCCGGTGAGGACGGCGAGGGCCTTGGGGAAGTCCTGCGGACGCTCCATCTCGGCGATGAAGCTCGGGAAGAGAATCTGGGGCACCCAGAGGAAGGTGATGTTGAGGACTGCGTTCATGCAGTTGACCCAGGTCGTGCCGGGAAGGGGAAAGGCGTAGGTGCGCACGGGACCGTCGGTGGGGTAGTTCCCGTTGTACCCATACAGTGGCGCTGTCTCAATCCCCGCAAAGATAAGGAACAGAAGTATGGCAATGGCCATACAGGCCGCTACGGAGGTAGGTTAGCACCATACACGCGGAGTCTAATGCTTTCCACCCGAGAACTCACAGGAGAACATGGACATGAAAGAGACATGGTGCAGCGTCCGAGGAACGGAGAGCACCACGCCCATGATCGTGCAGATCACCGAGAACACCACCGTGCAGAGGGAGTGGTCCGACAAGGTGTTGAGAATCTTCGCCCCGGTCAAGATGTGGAAGCCGATCAGGAGGATGTTGTTCGCCATCAGCATGAACCCGGCAAATGCGTAGGCGATCCGACTCTTGCCAAATGCATAATACCCGAAGTCGCCTGCCCATGCAATCGTTAGCCTCGATCTCGAGTCGCAAGAACCATCCACCAGAGCTCCTTACAAATATTTTGGATCTGCGGATGTTTCATGATGAACTTGTGCATGGTCGTTGAAGTGATCCAGAACAGGATCCCGGAAAGTAACATGGTGATAATCCCTGGCACCCACCCTAGAACTCTGGAAACCCAACAGCCATTAGTACCCATAACACACAATCACAGATCGGCTTAACTCACGAGAGCGACCAGGATTGCGACATGATAGCCAGACAAACCTGCTCTCCGCACAGCAGCCACGCTCCCTTCTGCCACGACATAGTCCGGAGCTGGATCTCATGTTGGTTGTCTGTGGAACGCGCACAACCGAAAATTAGCCATAATCATCGCCCTTAGGACAGCCATCTTAGCCTACCCTCATTCTTGAGCGCATTCAAGATCTCCGCCGAACTGTATCCATCGGAATCGAACTCGTCGACATCGGCGGGCTGCTGCACCGGCTCCTTCTTCTCGTCGTGGATCATCGCGAAAGAGTTGTTGTCAAAGTGCGCGATTGAGCAACGAAGTATGAGGGACTCGTATTTCCGCGGAGGCTGCAGGGTTTTAAACAATCAAGATGTTCTAGACGCAGCACTAGTGGTGGGCGGGTTGATTGGGGTGCTATGGCGTGATAGCGCAACCGATGTTCGCGATAAGACCCCAGATAGCCAACCAGGAACATGCGTTCCTCTTTAGCTTGCTGATGGGCGGAGCACGATGGAGGCAAACTCAGATGCGAACCACCTATGATGAGGATATGAGAGTGAGAGAAAGAAAAAAAATTTCAGCAAGCTAAGCAGGCGCGCTGGGCAGTGGCAAGGAAGGATTCCAGGAAGTCAGAAAGGCGACCGATGGAAGAAGGAAGATTGAGCACCTGCAGTGTGCTCGGAGATGGCCGAATCTGGATTGGGAAGAGGCAGCCAATGTTACCCTGCCATGACCTTTACATAATCGGAGCGGCCGTAGACAAAGTGGTGTCATTATCTGATGGTTGCAAATTGATTGTGAAGGAATTTGGTCAGTTGGTCAGTTGGTCAGTTGGTATGGATGGGCGAGATTAAGTTGACAGCCTTGTGGTTGACGCTACAAATTAAGGTTGCGAAGTGTGTTCCTGGAGGGGTTGGCAGGGGTTCCACTGGCTTATGGGAATTCGCACACCACGTGTGCTGCTGATGGCGTCATTTGGCGATGATGGGCAACCCATGCTAAGCTTTGCGAATTCTTTGTCAACTCGGATGTTCATGTTTGGGAGGCCTCGTATTGATCATGTTTACATCCAGTGGCTTGCGTGATTCTCGAATCCTGCGATCCTTCGACCAAGTAGCTACATAGACCGTAAATTAGCAACGGCTAGGGCTACCGCCGTGCAACCTACCTCATCATCAGATACAATACGTTTGTACAGCCTATCAAGGCTGGCAAATTTGAATTCGATCATGTAGCTCTCACTGTGTTGAAGGAAAGTCCGACTTAACTTTGAATGGAGTCTTGATGGTGGATAAATCATCACCCCCACAGCAGCGGTCGGCAGCTCCGGGCTCCATTTGTGATACCCACTGACCAGCTCACTCGAAGCTCAACTTAAAGACTGTTTGAACAGGCATATACCTTTGCTGTCAGCTACATAAGCAAGCTCTTAGGTTCACTTGCACAAGATCCTCCCAATGCTCTGTGGCAATGGTACAGCTCAAAACAGCACTGAGCACATGCACTTGATTTTCCTAAACGAGGATTTTCGTTCTTGCCTCGCGCCAATGAATCAGGGCACACAAACCAAAGATCGGTTTCCAATTTCTTGCCACTAACTCAAGATGTCAAATTGTGATGAATGGTCAGTCACCAAGCACAAGCAAGGACTGAGATGGGCCATGCGCACACAGCGCACGCTAGTCTGGAAGCCGACCAAGATTTGGCAGAAAAACTTCAGCAGAGAAAGCGGTGAGTACATGAGAGCACTATTCCACTTCCGGTGACTAGACTTTTACCAGAGTCCGTGATGCCAAGACCTGCATTTGTTCAAGTATTTCTGCCTGAGTCATAAGGCAATCAAAGCGACCAATATGTTAAGCTACAACATCCTACTCTTCTGTCGTATCCGACCAACGGTCATGTGACAACAAAGGCTATATACTATGCCACACTCTAGGACCCCAGCAAATTTCGGGTCTCTATGCTCTGATATATGTAGCATCTACTACTGACCAAGGTATGGTGCTCCGAAAGAATTCAAGATTCAAGGTTATAACAAAAGTAGAAGATCACTAAAAGCTGCAGAGTACCTTGAAAGCAAAGTTGGGTCTCTCTTCGAGCATACACATTATTTAACCATAGTAAGAACTATCTTTCTTACACCAGTATAGTGACTCTACAACTAGTGGCACTTAGAAAGCATGACCTTACAAAGCCCAACTCTGAGACTTAGATTTCACCCCTTATAACTTATTAGTCACAGATCAGGGCGCTGATGCAGTCGGCATCTCTGTAATTATTGTTCCCTTAGTATATCGACGGCCAACCCAGTCATATCTAGATCTTCGTCTGGATCTTTCCGTTGGGAACGCCGGCCGATGGTTATGATTGTCATATGCTGAAGTCTAATGAGTTGCTCCTGGACGAGGTGCAGATCTATAGGGTGTGGATTTGCAGGAGGACGGATCCGGCGGTATTCTCCATCATGTGGAGATGTCTGCTCTGCGAAAGTATGTCAAAGCTGTTGTTTGCTCCAGTTGAGGGCTTGAGGGTGCTCGATGCTGTTGTACTGGAGGCGGGACTTCTGGGTATTCATCGAGCTTGTGACGGGTCCGCGAATTTATGGGGTGACACTGAGAATCTGCGAAGAGCCTAGCTATTATGGGAGGGAGGATGAGGATCTGGAAGAGCAGGAGTTGCGTCTTCTGCCAACGAGACTACATCTTTTCTTGCTCAACTTAGCGGGGTTTGAACGGGACACGCCCTAAGTGGCAAAGGAGATGGACTGGTAGTGACGCTTCATGAGGTGAATGAGCTCTGTCTCAAAGATAGTGTGCCCCACTTTCCTCGCGACTCATCACAATGAGAACGAGATGGCACAGAAGAAGAAGAAATAAAAAGAGAAATGGAAAAGCTTTTCCCCACGACTCTTCTGGCGCAAGGTGCTTTCCGTACCGACGTCTCGCATCGAGTCCAACGCTTGCATGCTGTACTGTGGACTGGTCAAGTCTCCCAAACAAGATACTAATCCTCATCCGTCAGTCGAAAGCATGTGGAGCGAACATGGCCACCCGATCATGCATGACCCTGCTCTAATTTCGACACTCTTCTCTCCATAGCACAAGTTCACAATGATCAAGGTGAGAAGCTCGGCGGTCCTAGATCATTTACAGGTGCTTGGTTGCTGGGCGCTAACATTGACTTGTAAGAGGATGCTTAGAAATCACAAAGATATAGACAGGACTTGCACAGTCCAATTCTCCGACAAGGTATCTGATGTGGGTGTAGGTACTACTGCATTTCTCCATCCCATCCCGCCACAACACGGAGATCGACACCGCCAACAACATAAGAAGACTTGAAGCATTCAATTTTCCGCCAAAGAGCCGTCAACCTCGGACCAGGTCGCAGACCATGTGTGCTGTAGAGCACGGAATGCGGTGCTAATTTCAACTGCTAGCATGCCCTTAGGATAATTCTGCGAGCAATCGTCAGGAGGTCTGCGCCAAGCAAGACGAATACCCTCGATATGCATCGGCTGGGTAAATCGACAGTCCCAGACAGGGCCTCGACACAGCATCCAAGTAATCCAAGTACATTAAAGGCGTCAGATATAGCATCCGTGAAGGTGTCTTGAACCCCCAGTGGTACTGGCCGTGCCAAGACGAGCCGACAAGCAGCGCAGCACAGCCACGATGGAGTCAAACATCCGCGCTCTTGGCAACCCCGTCTGAAACGCCCTCCTACTCCATTTGTGGAAGTTCTGCTGGAACTGCTTGCCAGCTAACCCCCGGATATGCGCGCATTGTGCTTGGCATGTGTCGAAACTCCGCTTCTTCCGCAAAACCCTAGATGAAGCGGTGTCGCCTCCGTCTCAGCAAGAACGCCGACCGACAAGCTTGGCGGGGTCACTACCCACAGTTGCCATGCAAGAGCTTGAACGCCTTAGTCAATGCTCTAGAGAAGATAGTCCTTCCACCTATGGCAAAGGGGGTCCAGCCAAGTCTTGGGTCGACCTCCTGATGATGTATACTCGTTTAATGAGGGCGCTTGGAAGGTGAACATGGCACCACCAGCACTGATCCATCAAGCTATAAAGATATTGTCTTCCATCCCAGCTGTCCTGGCAATTCATCAACCAACTCACCTTCTCACCTTCTCTTCCCTTCTTTCTCTTTATTCCAACTATAGTCTTTTGCTCTCCTTCCATTCTACACAATGACCAACCTCAAGTGGATCGTTGCAGTGGCCGGCCTCCTGTCTGGACAGGTCCTGGCTGCTCCTACTGCCACCACCCACGCTAAGCGTGCTACTGTCAGCGACGTATGTTCCTTTTCCTCCTTCAACGTGTGCCACACTAACCTAGCTACTCCCCCGTAAAGAGTGCTTTCGGCTACGCCAGCCTGAACGGCGGCACCACCGGTGGATCCGGCGGAACCACGACGACCGTCTCCTCGTACGCGGCCTTCACCTCAGCCGTCAGCAGCGACGACAAGAAGGTGGTCTATGTCAGCGGCACGATCAGCAAGACGGCCGACCAGGTCAAGGTGGGCAGCAACACCTCGATCATCGGCAAGGATGCCAACGCCATCCTGGAAGGGTTCGGCCTGCTGGTCAAGAAGAAGGAGAACGTGATCATCCGCAACCTGGGCGTGAAGAAGGTGTTGGCCGACAACGGCGATGCCATCGGTGTTCGTACGTGCCTACCTCATCACTCCCCCTCAGATAAATAAGTCCTCGAAGCTGACTGCTATCTGCAGAATACTCCAACAACGTCTGGATCGACCACTGCGACGTCTCCTCCGACCGCGACCACGACAAGGACTACTACGACGGTCTGATCGACGTCACCCACGCTTCCGACTACGTGACCATCTCTAACACCTTCCTCCATGACCACTGGAAGGCCTCGCTGGTCGGCCACTCGGACAGCAACGCCGATGAGGACACCGGCCACCTGACCGTGACCTACGCCAACAACTACTGGTACAACATCAACTCGCGCGGCCCCTCCTTCCGCTTCGGCACCGGCCACATCTACAACAGCTACTACCTCGATGTCAGCGACGGCATCAACACCCGTGACGGCGCCCAGCTGCTGGTCGAGTCCAACGTCTTCAGCGGCTCCAAGAAGCCCCTCTACTCGACCGACAGCGGCTACGCCGTCGCCAACGACAACGACTTCGGCGATGGCGAGAACGCCGCCGACGAGGGCACGTTGACCTCCGTGCCATACAGCTACACTCTGCTCGGCTCGAGCAAGGTTAAGAGTGCTGTTGTGGGCACGGCCGGACAGACTCTTACCTTCTAAGCTTGTTTGCTTAGCTTGCTTAGCTTAGCTTAGCTTCGCTTTGCCGGATGAGGGGGTAAATGAGGGGGTAGCGAATGGTGGTGGTGGTGGTGCTTTGTCATTCGTTTCAGTTCTTAATGGGTTCTGATTTCTCGGAATTCTTTTCTTATATCCAATTGAGTTGGTTTTGGTGATCCTTGATTCCTCGTTCTCTCGTGTAGATGGGCAGACGTAGTCGTCATCGCTGGCGCCAAGAATGCCCGGTCCGGACAATGTGAAACTGCCATGGCCTTCGCCAAGGGCTCGTTCGGGCCCCACTGGCACACCGCTCGGACCAGCTGTCCCGCATAGTTCGTTTAATCTTCGGCAATTGAGGTCCTGAGTTGTAGGTATGCGGTTGTGAAGATGTCGGGGTACTGTTAAATGAGGTGTGTTTCAGGTACCGCTGCAACATGGCAGCCGAGTGACCTGTCATGACGGGAGACACATCCCATAGGTGAATATCCATAGACTGCACCCCCTGCATTAGTGAGATGAGTCCACCAGGGTAGACCACATAGTATTTGTATGTTAATGGGTATAGCAAAGTACCCACTCCCTTCAAATCCCGAACCAGCACAACTCCTTCCTTCCCTCCAGACACCATCTAACACCGATTACCCAAATCTCCTTTACACACTCAGTCAACCCACCCCAAACCAACTCCCCTAAGCCCCCCTAACCCTCCCATCCAACCTCACAACCCAAACCCTCGTCTCCCCCATCAAAAACATCTCCCCAGCCTCCCCAAACACAAAATTCGCCACCCCTCCCTCCACCCTAATCTTCCCCAACAACACCCCGCCCGCCGACCAAACATTCACCCCATCCCCACACCCCGCATACACATTTCCGGCACGATCAACCTTGATCCCATCGGGCACGCCCTTATCCGCCATCGCAAACACCCGCCGGTTCACCAGGAACGGCTCCCCGTTGATCGCCGTGATATCGAAAGCGTATCTACGCCAGCATAGTTAGCGTTCCACCCCAGTCTTATGCGGATCTCCGCAACACCACAGCCCCCTCCACAGCTAACGATCAAGATATCTGTAAGGCAGAAGCAGGGGAAAACATACATAGTCGCCGCCCGCGTCAAATCCACCGTCCCATCCCCCCGCGCCGCCCCGGTATCAGTAACGTACACCGTGCCGCCCCCGGGCGCAAAGCAGATCCCATTCGGCTTGTCGAACCCATCCGCGACCACGCGGACCGCTTTTGTGGCGGGGTCGTAGCGGTACACCTGGTTCGGGAGCTGGGGGGCCCCCGCACCCCGTAGACCCTGGATGTAGGCGTAATCCGGGTCGGTGAAATAGATACTCCCGTCGGCGGGGTGGATGGCTACGTCGTTGGGGGAGTTGAACGGTCTGGAATAGAAACTGGTGAGGAAGGGGCTGCTGGTGTAGTGGTTGTTGGTTAGGGCGAGGGTGTAGAGGCCTGCCGGGTGGGTGGGGTCCCCGTCCCCTTGGCCGCAGAAGAGGATTTCGTTGTTGTCGTTGAAAGCGTGGCCGCCGTTGGGGTTGGGGATGGCCGGGGTGGGCGTGATGAGTTGGGCGGTGAGGGGTCGGGGGCCGTCGAGGGTGAGCTTCGAGATTTGGATTGTGCTGGTGTTGGTGTGCGGGTCGGTGAGGATGTTGCTGGTCATATAGAGGGTTCGTGGTTGGGAGATGTAGATTGGGGCTTCGTGGGCGAAGGGGGTGGTCGTGTTGTTGTTTGTGGTGAGGATGCTGAGGGTGGGGTGCAGGCCGGTTAGCTTGAGGAAGTCCGGGTTGTGGACTTCGAAGGCTGGGGGGAGGGACGTTGCTGGTGTCCAGGTGGGGGTGAGTGCGGTGGTGGTCATTTTGGTGGTGGTTGCGGATGCAGGAGTATGAATGGTGGTGCGGTTGCCCTTGCTTTATTTATCGTTTGGAGGCAGTCCATGTGGTTGAGGCATGATGTAAGGGGCGCGTTGCGGTGGACAAGGCTATGCGCCAGTACTGCACCACTACCACCGGGGCCACTGCCCGCGTTGTCCTGCATTGCCTATTTCGGGCCGCTTTGGACCCCCGTTACGGGTCAAGATTGATTAGGGTTGGGATGCATATCTGACCTGCGGCCACTTTGGGGGAGGATCGCCGATCCATGGCGGGTGGTCTCACCGAGATTTCCCCGGTGCGGAATTGTTGGCGTACAAGATGGACTTGGGAAAACCGCTGTAAAGACTTCTACCCTACAAGTGTTGATCTCCTTGTCTCACTACTTTCGTCTTGAGTAATCACAGAGGCACAGCGGAGTTGAATGTTATCGGCTGACATGGAGGGATATCTGGGGTAGCTCGGAAACCTATTCCGAGAACGATAACCAGTTCCGGCCCCCATTGCACTCCCTACTGCAGAACCAGATCGAGTTAGCTGTTTCACTAGCTAGATCAAGCATTGCTGTCATACTTGAAGCTTCGCA